GGGGGGAGAAACCTCCTGGCCCACAGTTGACGGATGGGAGGAATTCCTCTCGGCCACTCAGACTGTACGTCTTGATAGGCCGAGAGGAATTCCTCTCGGCCGTTGAGACTGTACAGTCTCAACAACTGGGAGGAATCCCTCCCGGGCGTCGAGACTGTACAGTCTTGGTGGTTTGGCCACCAAGACTGTGTGTCTCAATGGCCAGGAGGGATTCCTCCTGGCCATGTTGAGACGGTATAGTCTCAATGGCCGAGAGGAATCCCTCCCGGCCACCAAGACTGGTCCTGATGGCCGGGAGGGATTCCTCCTGGCCATCGAGACTGTACCCCTCCCGGCCGGGAGGGGTACAGTCTGGTGAAGGGAGAACTTTATTCTCCCTTCACCTCCCAATTATGGCGTCAGGAAGGGCGGGTTTGTCTTCCCGCCCCTCGGAATCCTGTTTTCCCTCGAAAACAGGATTCCGAGGGGCGTGCAATCAAACCCGCCCCTCCCTGAGGGGCGGGTGGGATTGCACACCCCTTTTGGAGGGGCGTGGGCGTGGGCGTGCGGGGAGGGGGGAGGAGTGCGTTTATCAACGCCCGCCCAGGGGGCATGTACCCCAATACTTATTTTTACTGAAATTTTGAGCTCATAAAGATTTAGTTAAAATTGTAACCACTAAGCTTCTACTGTAGCGGTTATTTTTTTGTTTGTGTGGTGGACAAGAAATAAAGAACAAAATCAAATCAAGAAAAGAAAACTGAAAGAGGAAAAATAAAATAAAATAAAATAAAATAAACCAAAATAGGACTGATGAAAAGATGATACTTTTGACCATAACTGATAACAAACTGATTCCTGAATAGAAGTTTTATAAAGAGAACCTTGAGTCTTGATCTTGGTGATTCTGATTTAAGCTGAAATTTGAAACTTGACTTTTGAGGGAGGGCCTGTACCATCTAGAACACCACAAGGGTACACACCCTAATTAGTTGGCCCTTGGGTCAAGCTTAACCAAGTCCTTACTTGCCTGAGGGCCTCAGGCAAGTAAGGAGCCTCAGGATGAGACCTCTGACAGAGGGACTTATGAATTATCAGGATTTCTTGTATGAGAGTTTTCTCAATTTTGGTGTTTTCAACTTTGAACCTCCAGAAAGCACCCATGATAATAGCCAACTTTCTAATTTTTCCAAATATTATTGACCTACTTCTTTTCTTTCTTCTGATACAATTTGAAGCCACATCACCCATGTCTTCATGTTTTTTTTCTTCTTGCTTTTCTTGATAATGTTACCGGATAACAAGACAATTGTCCATGTGCACTAACCAAAACAACTGGAATCCATTTATTGTTTATTTTCTACATAATTTTTTTAAAAATATACAGTCAAGATACAACAAATTAAAAAAAAAATGAAAATTGAAGGGAAGAATGATTTGATCTAGGAAAAATGAATGTTTTGGGTAGGGCTTGAAAGTTACCCAAGTTAAGGAGGATTGCAACAAAAAGAGCACTTAAATATCCAAAAGCCTCATGCCAGAAATCCTGACAAGTCATAAGTCCCACTGGCAGAAGCCTCATGCCAGGAGGGACTTGGTTGAGTTTGCAGTTAGGCTCTGAAAATTCAATTTTTCAGAATTTATCTTTCTCAAAATATTCATTCCATCAAAACTTGAGAAAAGTGACCAGTTTTGAGCGAGTTGCTACGGAAGCCCAGGGGGGACAGGTATCGAGCCACTGCTTGATTTTTGATTTTTGAGGCTTGATACAGCTGTACAGATCACCTGTACAACCGTTAACTCCTCCGAAATCCTGCCCCAAAACATATAACAACAAGTGTACAATATAACACCTGTCATAATAACTCTCCCCTTCCACAACCCACCGAAAATGCAACTCCTCACCCTAGACCAGTCAATCTGTGGGAGGTGGATCAAAGAATCCGGGATTTTTTCTTTTATTCTCAAACCACTTATGTGTATGTAACAATGGATCATGGGGTTTGAGTTGCCCATACCCACAAGCTGGCCTGCCTCAAAAAATTATATTTCTTGACCACTTTCAAAAGTGCAAAGTGAGCAAGTACCGGCATTTCGGGCATCAGAACACCTTCTCAATGTCCACCCCACTCAACATGGTCCGCTGTATCAAGTGTAAGAAGTGGTCTGCTGGGCCCCATTTCGCCAACTGGTGTCGTCAATGTTTACTCTTCTTTGGTTTAGACCCCGACTCAGACCCATTATTTTTAGCATCTCAGTCGAACAGCCTTAATAGCATCCTACCCCCCAACCCACCACCCCCAGTTCCCCCTCAAAGCCAAGCTATTGGCTCCTCTGAAACCGCCGCTACCCATACCTCTGCCACTATTTCATTACGATCTTCTGCAGATGTTCCAGTGTGTGCCGGCACCAAAGCACACTTTCAAGCTGTTGGAAAGGCCAAGCGACACAAAACTCCACTCCCTTCAGCTTCTCCTTATTCGAAAAGCAAGAAAGTTAAAAGTTCAGCCTCCACCGACGATTCCAACAAGAAGATCTTCATCAATGCTGGTGCCCTTGTGTTGCGTGATGAGAAGCTCAAGAAGCTGGCAGCAAAGTACTCTCATGACATCGACATCACTAATCCGAACCTCTACTCACAGCTCAAGCAAGAACTCTGGGATTTGTTTTCTTCGGAATTGATTCAAAAATCAATGATTACTACCCCTCTTCCAGCTAGCCCACTCGATCAAATCACTTTAAGCCATGGTGAAAGCCGCCTTCCCAATCTCCGTACCTTACTCGCCTATATTTCAAACGCCAAGAAAAAACCCATCCCTATCGATATCATTTATGAAGAGCCTAGTGATATCAACACCGACATTTCTACCCGGATGTCAAGGTCTTCAAACACTCAGCTCTCTTCTCAAGCTACCTCACAGTCAACTAGCCGCCGTTCACTTCGAGATTCCACCTGCCAACTAGACACTCGCCAACTAGCAACTCGCCAGCCTGCCAACCTTCATCCCTTGACCCACGAACCTGAGCAGTCAATGATCAATCATAACATGTTCAGTACTGTCCGGCGAAACCCTGCTGGCCATAGTCAAAACTACGGTTTCAATAACGATACATGGGCCAATGGTCCAATTGCTGGTAAGTGCTTAATATTCATTCATCCCCTACCATTTACAACCCATTGCTGATTGTTATTTGGCATGTAGCTACAGTTCCTTGTCGGGGTGTTGCCAGTCTTGACACCCAGATTGCACACCTAGGACAGCCATTGGGCAGATGTCTCATCACTATCAATCCTGATGGATGGATTGTTGCACAGCGCCTGACATTCAAGAATAATGACTACAGCTCTATACAACTCCGTTCAGAAAATGCGCCTCCATCAGAACTGATTGCGACTAGTACTCCGATTACCATATGTATTGATAAGAGCTCTCCCATTGGCCGTGGAAGCATGCGAGTTGCTTATCCGGTTAAGATCAAAACCAACATCGATGGCGATGGGAACTTCAGTATCACAAACTTTGTTGCAAAAGAGCGATTCATTGATCAACACCCTTTGATTTCCAATCATGCAACTGATTCTCGCATGTATCAAGCTTGTGGGCTCCTCCTTCAAGAATTCAAAAACGTGCTTTCAATCAATACGGATCCGAACTTATCCCCTCAAATACGACAAAAAGCTGCCGCCTTCAATGTGAGTAGTCCTTGATCTTACTACATGTTATTGCTTTGCGTGGCATCGAGACTAACTATTCCATTATTCTGCCTCCTTCTCAGATGGTTCGACATTGTGTTGTAGTGACTGGAAACAAAGACATTCCATCCAAAATCTATTTTATAGAAGCGGTTCTTCGGGGACACTATGTGAAATACTCGAGTAATGTCAACTTCACCATCACGAGGAACCAGCCTGGGATGGATATCGAAAACTTGGAAATTATGAATGCGTTCACTCATTGGTCCTATATCAACTCCCATGGGCAAAGCCTTGTATGTGATCTCCAGGGAGTTGGAAACATGGTGACGGACCCGCAAATCATTGATCTGGATCCCAAGTCAGTTACTTATCTTTTTGAAAGGCTATTGATTGGTCAGTGTCAGACCATAACTGATATGCTTTTCCTGCAGCCGTTGGGCCGATGGAAATAATGCTGCTCAAGGGATACAGATGTTTCTCCAAAATCATTGATGCAACAAGGTCTGCAGCTCCTTAAACCTTGGACAACTGGTTGACCTTCGATGGGAAAGACGCACTCAACATTCTGAAGACATCTTTCAATCTGGTGCTCCGGTAACCGGAGATAATGGTGGACGCTCTTTGTCTGGGAACCCGACTCCACCACTTTCCATAGCCGACCTTCTAGCCAGTGAAAGCAATGAGCTTCCTGACGTTCATGACTTTTTCAACACATCTAATCTCCCTCCAGCTTCATCTGTAGCGAATCCGGAAAATACTAGGGATAGAAACATAACAGATCACTCATAATTAGCATTGGTTTTCTCATATTACGGCTGGTATTTTTCATGAATTATTGTCTAGTCACTCGTTTATTTTATTATCCTCCTTAGTCACTCATTAAAGGTCTTATACTACAGCTACACTCTGATAATGTTTTGAAGAAAAAGATATCCGTCTGGACCCTATTTTATTTCATCAATCAGTTGAGAGACTTTTTGATTGTTGGATCATATAAAGATCTAGTTGCCGGATGAAATGAGATAAAATCCGAACGGCTTTGAGGTGGGAGGTTGGTCATAGTAGTGATACTTGTGATAATTGTCTGTGACATGGATAGGAAATGCACTTCTTGCTTTAGTTTAAGTCTTCCCTCCAAAAACAGATTCTCACATTTAAAGCTACCATCGATCTTGCTCAATCCACAGGTTAAGTACATCAACAGGCACCTCATTTCATTCAGGTCACAAAAATGATCAGGCGCTGATAGGCTTGGCACTTTCACATTCATTCGGATCTTTCTCATTCAGTATATTGATCTGCCAATCTAGGAACATATATCAACAACCTCTGTCTTGAACGATATCAAGCGGCCGCTCTGGTAAGTTAAAGGATCGCTTTATAACTCGTTCGCGTCTGGTTATCTATCTCTTTTAATAACTACTATCTAGTCCATCTGTCGCCCAGTTCACTGATATGAAGATGGTTTATCTCAAGCATTATTGAACGAGGCGTTTTTCCATCGACTAGACAGATCTCAATCGATATTCACTGATCATCATCAACAGCAACCTCATCGTCGTTGGAATCGATCCAATCTCAACCCAGCGCAAGCTATTATCAAAATCGATTGCTTTGAATCAGCCGATAACGATCAAGACTTGCATTGGAATTGATCTGATCTACAGCCAGCTACAATCGATATCGATTTCTTTGATTCAGCCGATAACGATCAACGCTTCCGTTGGAATCGATCCAATCTCAAACCAGCGATAGATATAAATGAAATCAATCGTTTTGAATTAGCCAATAACGTTCAACACATATCAGCAAGTCATCAGGTAAGTCAAACGGTTGTGTTCTATCTGGATCGCTTGTGGTTATCTCTCAATAGCTTAACCTTCCCCTCCATCGCTTACCCTCTTAACTGATATGAGCGTGTTGTAACTGAAAAGTTATTGATCTTATGTTTTTTCCATCGACTAGACAGAGATCATTCAAGATTCACTGATTATCATCAAGAGCAGCCTAATCATCGTTGGAATCGATCCTATCTGAAACGAGCAATAGCAATAGTCAAAATCGATCATTTTGATTCAAGCGATAACAATAACAATAGTGATTGCGATTGTCAGAAGGGTAGCGGTAACGCTTGATAGCAGGAGCAATACCCACTGTAAGAGTGATAACAACATCAATAGGGAGAGCGAATCTGATTCTGATTATAATGACGGTGTGGTGTTCTAAACGGTACAGGCCCCCTGAAGGTCCAATTTCAGAATTCAACTTTCAACTCTTCAATATCCTCAAGACTCAAGATTTCAATATTATCACCTCAATCCCCACTCAGTCCAATTGTTTCCTCATTTTATTATTTTATTCAATTTCCTCTTATTATTTACTCTTCATATTATTTTTCATTCATCTTGATTTTTATTTTTATTTTATCATTTTATCATTCTTACTTATCTTTTTCAAATCACCTACTCAGTAGACAGTCTTGTTTAATTTTCTTGGTCCTAAGACATCTCAGGATGTTGGTTTATTTCACTCTTGATTATTTTGTTTTGTTTTGTTTTGTTTTGTTTTGTTTTGTTTTGTTTTGTTTTGTTTTGTTTTGTTTTGTTTTGTTTTGTTCTGTCTTGTTCTGTTGTGTTGTGTTGTGTTGTGTTGTGTTGTGTTGTGTTGTGTTGTGTTGTGTTGTGTTGTGTTGAGCCGTGCTGAGATGTGTCAGCGATGTCACAACATGTTAGTGAATGGTCAGTCCCCCGAGTGCAAGCTCAAATTCGCATTTATATGATGTGACAACACGCCACTTTGGTCCCGATCCAATCTAGATCCCACAAATCTCACTCCTCCTATCCTATTCACTCATCTGATCCTCATATTCACCTTCAAAGATCCTCAACCTCAACAACCGCCACAGAACTCAATTTCTGTTGTCTCCTCCAGAAAACCAACCAACCCCAACGCGTTTCGTTAAGATCACAGCTCAACTTATCCAGATCCCACTTGAAGGCAGCCCTCAAAGCACCATCCCTTCAACCAACTGCCTACCGCCTGGCACGATAGGAGTTCCACATTTGGTCCCCTGAGCCGGGATCGAACCAGCGACCTCAAGATTTACAGTCTCGTCTTACTTGGTCTTCTTTCAGGCGACAGGTGCTCTAACCTTGAGGATTTCTAGTGTCTGGCTTTTGTTTCAGGACCTCTAGCCTCCTTTCAGGACCTCTAGCCTTGTTTCAGGATCTCTAGCTCTGGTTTCAGGACTTTCTTTTTAGGTTCGCTTTTGGTTGATAACTTTGATCGCTTATATCTCTTGCGCTGTTCGTTTTCGTGGGAAGGCGGACAAACTTGTAGACCGGATCCGTGGCTTTTAGCTGAAATCAAGATCGTCAAAATCGGACGAGCGGTTCAGGAGATATCATCAATCAAAGTTTAACCTCGATTTTTGCATCGTTTATCTTCGACCCCTTATATCTTGCAAACTAGCCACATTGACGCAAACCTTCCGCCGACAAACTTGTAGCCCGCATTCTCAGCGTTCTTTTTATCCAGAAATCTCGCAAATCCGTCCACTTAATCAAAAGTTACAGCCTATCACAATCGATACTCGCTTTTTTGTCTACCTCGTTTTCGGAGCCCTTTAACTCGCTACCCTTTCGCTTTCGTCGATCAAATCCGCAGACAAAGTTGTAGCTGTCAATCAGGACTTCCGTCTCAAATTAAGATCGTCGAAATCGGACGAGCGGTTCAAAAGTTATTAGCTTTCAAACTTCATAATCAAGTTTTCGCTTCCCTCGCCTTTGGATCCTTCTACTGCCTTATCTGTTCGCTTTGGTGGATTAAGTCTGCTGACAACGTTGTAGCTGTCGCTCAGGGCTTTTAGCGAAAATCAAGATCGTCAAAATTGGACCAGCGGTTCCAAAGTTATTGCTGTTCAAGTAAAACCCCTCAAATTCTCTCTCAGGCTTCCCTCTTTTTGGATCAGTTTTTTTTCTACACATCACGTGGCGTATATTGTGGAGGCCTTAGGACCAGAAGTAAGTCCCCTCCAGTTGTGCACCTCTGAAGCATCACTACTATAATCAAAGACATCATCGCCACTTTGTGAGCCATCCTTGTTCGCCATTTGCTTTCCTTAGAGTTCAATCAATCAAGACAGAATGGCCAACAACGGAGGAGGATCTTCTAGCGACGCCATGGTCAAGATCAAGCCTCAGAATGAGGATCTAGCGTTTAATGGGAGCAATGTCAAGCGTTTTCTTTCTGAATATCAACTAGCTGCGCGTTTGGATGGAGCGTTGGAGAAGGATATGGCTCAACAGCTAGGATTTTTCATCGCAAAGGACGAGCTGTTGGATGTCGTCGAGACTTTGGAAGGATACGAGCCGCCGGACTGGCCTAAGTTGAAGGCTTCTATGATAGCGTACTGGGGAAACGTCGATACCGCCAAGTTTAGTTTGCCTGATCCCAAGCCTTCTGATCAATTGCTGGAAGAGGAAAATCCCCGGAATCTTGAGCGCGGCCTCCCATTGGGTTCTCCTAATGATCTACCAGTTGAGGAGGTGTTAGAATCTGATTCGAATTTTGTAGATCTGGATGTTGGGCCGGAGCTTTTTGATAAATCTAGCAAACAGGACCGTAATGAATCAATTAAGACGAGAGAACCTGCTTGGCATCCCACAAAGGCCAGTTTGGATTTTACGGCTGCCTCTGTCATTGAATACCCATCGGCTCCTAGAATCAACAAATCCAATCCCTCCCAAAGGCAGCGTGAAAATCTCAAGTCATCCGCAGTGCTCTCTGTTTTGCTTCCTCCGGTCAAAGATTCTACACTGTCAGTTCCTTCAGATCAAGAAGACATGGACGACAATCCCGATTTGTTTGAGCAATCAACTGAAGATCCAAGCCCTGCTGAAGTCACCGCCGCTAGACCGATCCTTGCACTTAATCAAGTTGCTTCCCCGATCAACAATCATCTTTCTACAGAGATCTTGGAAAATCTTTCTTCTGCCTCTGCCTCAGCCGCCACAGTTCATCGACCACTGATCTGTTATTATTGTCATTGTAAAGGCCATGGGACGGCCCACTGTCATGCACTCCAGAAGGACAAAGAGAAATGCCTTGTTGATCAGAAGGGGCACAATTATTTCCTTCCCAGCGGTGCCTGGATCCCTTTCGACCCTGTCCGACCTATCCGCAGTGTTGTGACGGCATTTCAAGCTTCAAGTCGTTCCGCTCCTCCATTTCCTGCGCCTTATTGGATCAGTTGTGGTGCTCTTCAGCCATGGTATCCAACGACCAAGCCAATTCCCTGCGCAGATCCTCCAGTTTCTGAATCTTATCATTGTCACTTGATCCGCAAATCACCCAACATCAAGTCTTCTCAACCCAAAGTCTTGTCCTCTGATCCACCCTCTCCAAAGTGTTTGGCCAAGTTTGTCAAGGAGGCAAACTCTGTCCTGAAGAAGATTATCAATCTGATGGTTCCAGGTTTCTCCGCTTCCTCCTTGGACAACGTTCATCTTCCCAAGAGTCAAATTCCTAGAAGGACGAAGGCAAGAAAAGTGATTCCGCGGAGGCATAATGGAGTTAAAGTAAGTTCTCTCCAATGTGCACCTCCAGGGCTTGATGCCACTAAAATAGTCAAAACTCTATCTTGTGCCACACTCGTGAGCAATGGACAACCTTCCACCCTCGTTTCCCCAGGTGTACCAGATCCGAATTCATCCGAGACCCTCCGAGATGAGGTTAAACTATCTTCTGATCCTCCTCTGTGTTCCGTTCCCGATCTTGATCCTATTGGCCAGCTCCGCCCGACTTCTGAGCGTTTGGTTTCCTCCTCGATCGACCTCCGAGATGAGGTTAAACTATCTTCTGATCCTTCTCTGCGTTCCATTCCCCATCTTGATCCTATTGGCCAGCTCCGCCCGACTTCTGAGCGTTTGGTTTCCTCCTCGATCGACCTCCGAGATGAGGTTAAACTATCTTCTGATCCTTCTCTGCGTTCCATTCCCCATGTTGATCCTATTGGCCAGCTCCGCCCAACTGCCGAGGATTTGGTTTCCTTCCCGATTGCCCTCCGAGATGAGGTTAAACTATCTTCTGATCCATCTCTACGTTCCATTCCCGATCTTGATCCTATTGGCCAGCTCCACCCGACTTCTGAGTGTTTGGTTTCCTCCTCGATCGACCTCCGAGATGAGGTTAAACTATCTTCTGATCATTCTCTGTGTTCCATTCCAGATCTTGATCCTATTGGCCAGCTCCACCCGACTTCTGAGTGTTTGGTTTCCTCCTCGATCGACCTCCGAGATGAGGTTAAACTATCTTCCAATCCATCTCAGCGTTCTGTTCCCAATCTTGATCCTATTGGCCAGCCCCGCCCGACTGCCGAGCATTTGGTTTCCTCCTCGATCCGCCTCCGCAAAGAGGCCACATTAAATTCTCAAGTCCAGGAATCCGTCTTCTCCTCTCAAGCCTCATCTGATCCCAACAACCATATGTCTTCCTTATCCCATAATTATCGATCTCATCCCTCTGGTGTTCCCAAATCTTCCATCACTCCTGAAGTTCATCAATCTCAATCCTCCCAGCCTTTATCCAACTCCGTAGATCCCCTTTCTTCTTCTTCTCCGATCCGGCTCCGCAATGAGGATAAACCAGCATCAGTTCCGATCCCCAATCCACTCCGCAATGAGACTAAACAAACATCTGAATCCTCCAATGTTGAATATCCCGATCCTGTGTCATCTGATGGTGTGCAAGCTTCCGGCCAAGTTGAAAATGATCTCTGCAATGAGGGTGAACTAGGTTTGTTACATTTTGATGAGGAAGAAGGATGGATGATAGAGGTTTTTCCCCGTGGAGGCAAAGTTGACCAAAAGTAAGTCCTCCCAATGTATGCATCTCCAGGGTATCTACTACCACATTGTAAAAACTCTACTTTATGCCACATTTGTGAGCACCTGGATGGGCCCTTGGTTTGTTTGGTTTTTTTAGGTTTTATTTTAGGCTTCAAGCGTAGGAGAAGAGAAGAGCAGTCTAGGGACAGACTGCAAGTGGTGAGGAGATGTGGTGTTCTAAACGGTACAGGCCCCCTGAAGGTCCAATTTCAGAATTCAACTTTCAACTCTTCAATATCCTCAAGACTCAAGATTTCAATATTATCACCTCAATCCCCACTCAGTCCAATTGTTTCCTCATTTTATTATTTTATTCAATTTCCTCTTATTATTTACTCTTCATATTATTTTTCATTCATCTTGATTTTTATTTTTATTTTATCATTTTATCATTCTTACTTATCTTTTTCAAATCACCTACTCAGTAGACAGTCTTGTTTAATTTTCTTGGTCCTAAGACATCTCAGGATGTTGGTTTATTTCACTCTTGATTATTTTGTTTTGTTTTGTTTTGTTTTGTTTTGTTTTGTTTTGTTTTGTTTTGTTTTGTTTTGTTTTGTTTTGTTCTGTCTTGTTCTGTTGTGTTGTGTTGTGTTGTGTTGTGTTGTGTTGTGTTGTGTTGTGTTGTGTTGTGTTGTGTTGTGTTGTGTTGTGTTGTGTTGTGTTGTGTTGTGTTGTGTTGTGTTGTGTTGTAGTTAGGGATGTGATGACATGTCTGTGACATGTCACTCCCCAGAGTCAAAGTTCAGTTTGAACTGAGATGATGGGGAAGCATGGCACTCTGATCTGATCCAAGATAGACCCATCAAATCTTATTGATCCTTTTATTATTGATTCATCTGATCCTCATATTCACCTTCAAAGATCCTCAACCTCAACAACCGCCACAGAACTCAATTTCTGTTGTCTCCTCCAGAAAACCAACCAACCCCAACGCGTTTCGTTCAGATCACAGCTCAACTTATCCAGATCCCACTTGAAGGCAGCCCTCAAAGCACCATCCCTTCAACCAACTGCCTACCGCCTGGCACGATAGGAGTTCCACAACGGCACCCGTGATATTGTTTGGATCATTCTTATTCAACGATACCAAGCAGGTCAACAGGTAAGTTCAAAGATCACATTCTATCTCGATCGTTTTTCATTATCTATATTGATAGCTGAACTATCTGTTCCATCTGTCATCATGTTAACTGACTTGTACTTTCTCCATCTCAAACATCATCAATCTAGGTGTTATTCCAATTGACTACACTGATATCAACCTCATCATCATTGTTGATTTCGACCCATCTTGAATCAACTGAGATCGATAAGAACATCATTAAAAAGTCGATTGCCATTCCGATTGTAAGAGCGATAGCAATAACATTAGCTAGCAATATCAATTTGAATAGTGATTGCAAAAGTTAGAAAGAAACTGACTTATCAATAACGACCGATTGTGACCAGGATATTGAAAGCAACATCGACTGTAATAGTTACATCGATATCAATAGCAATCAGCAAAGCGGTAAAGACAAGATTACCAAAGCTATATCTAAACGATCTTGGTAGGTCTTTAAGAGAACTGATACCATTGTTCTTACGATACTAACAAACTGAAACATTTAATGGTCTTTATGGCAGTTCATTCTATATCTGATCCAAATACTCAATGTCTTATCGTTGGCGCCGTCAACCCGAAGATCCTAGGTCATCGAGATACTCTCGTTCTTATATAGAAAGGGGAAGGGGTCATTGTGGTGCCTTCCCTGTCGGTCAACTTAATCGAACCGCTTGTTTGGGGAGGGGTCATTGTGGTGCCTCCCCTTATGGTCAAGATAATCAGCCAACTTTTCAGTCTGGAAGGGGTCATTGTGGTGCCTTCCTATCCGATCACACTCAAAATTCAAATAATCATTCTTTACCGCCAGACAGGGACAATCGATCAAATATTCCAAACGGTAGATATAATGATATGCATCATCATAGTACACATTCTCGAATGGTTAATCCCGGTTTTAATCGATCTATCCACCCTGAATCAGTTCATTTTGACCGCCATCTGGATTCTCGTAACCATCCTGGGACAACTGCAAATGACTCTAGTCGATCAACCTGTACTACTCCCCGGATGGATCATCCTGCTCGGATCAGACAATCTGCAACCCATCATTCAACCCATATCAACCATCAAGTTGGATCTAATCGACCCCATCAGAACGCTAGCCGAATAGACATCTCCGAAAATAAAAACAAGCCCCGACTTACCGAACGCCAGAAAAAGAATCAAAAGATCCAACAGCGAATGCATCATCTAAGCTTCCCATCAACCAAGAAAGACGATATCAAACCTTATATCTTGGCTCTCAATCAATATCCAGAAACCACGATCCGCTTGAACTCATCATCTTTTACCAGTAAGAAAGTCGTTGGAACGGACAATATGGGAAAAAATATTCTGTTCATGGCTCAGTTTCACGAACTGGATGAAGAAGATCCTGTTGTTAATGGTTTGTCGGAAATCATACGAGATCTACATATGATGGGAAAGAATCGGTACCCCATCAGACCAAAAAACTTGATCAGCGGAACTATGAAAGGCATCGGCTTTCGAGGAGGAATGGAAGGGGATCATAGCGCAGGTTTGTTTGCTTTAAATTTTCCGAATAGATTGTCCGGGTTCTGACTAGCTGTTGTTCTGGTAGGCACATATGCAAGAGTCTCCAAGATTAAGGAGGAAGCCCGACAACGTGACGAAGCACTTTGGGATAAACTTCCGGCACATAACCTATTTTTGTGTGATCGACTCCGACATTTCTCCCAGCAAGCCTTTGAGAATAATGTTTCGCTCTTGGAACGATTTGGCTTACCTAGTTGGTCAGACAGTGAATGGACCGAGTTTGCCAATGATGACACCAGGGCTTTTACCAATGCCATTGTCACTAATAACAACTTTGTGAATGAGCCGCATAAAGACGATGATGAAAATGAATTCAGTTATGGCATATTCAGCTATATTAACCCCGAGAATGGACAACCCATCTGTCCCATAACCTCGGCAAGTGGGCATGCTATCCGCTTTCCTGAATTCAATTGCGAAATCGACTTTGGAACTTCACCTGGAATAATTGAAGTGATTTGGGCAACCAACCGAGTCGTTCATCATACAACTTCTCCCTCAAGCCCCTTAAGGACCACCAAACAAATGATGCACTTCGGATCTTCTTTCCAGACTGGCAAAACTCTTATCGAGCGTGCTGTAATTTTGGACGAATTACCACCTGACCAGAAAGCCAAAAGAATATTTGGACGAAGTGAACGAAATGAAGTGGAAGATCTACGTGCTTCAAAAAGGACAAAATGAGCATTTAAACATGTTCACAAAGAATTTGTCTTGCCCTACCTATTACCTTTCTTTTCATCCCGGTTTTCTTATTCCAAATTTTACAATCTTTTTGTCTGATCGTAATCAAAGCATGCAATTTTCTTTGGTAATCCCACCTGCAAAATTTACTTCACAGAATGAACAAATCCAGAATGAGATTGAATGATTTAATTGCTTGGTGCAATAATAACTGGCTAACTATTGACAGTTAAGTGGAATTCATGATTTCCAAATTGGAAATGATGAAAAATAACACACAGCAACAATGAATTTTTTTCAACAAAATGGAAAAATGGGCTTAGTCTCAGTTTTTAAAGACAAAAACTCAAGAAGAATGAATGTATTAAATCTAAATCTAGATGGTTCAGGTGATGCCATAGCAAGAGTTATTGATCAAAGCGTCTAAAAATTGATAACAAAAAAAGATTCATGGAGTTGCAGTATCTTCTTCTTGTTCGGAGCCATCTGGTGTATCTTGATCTTCTTCAAAGGTTTCCAGTGAAAAGGTAGGGAGCCCATGTTGACTGAAGTGGTGTTGTATACTTGGAAGCATCCGAGAAAAAAAAAACCAGACATTACCAATGGTGATGTCTTCAAAATTGATTTGAAATGCAGCCATGATACCGGTCGCTACTTCATGAAACCATCCAGGAGTATGGGTGAACATTCTGTCAATATTAGGATACTCATGATGCAGGGGGGATTGGATGTGTTCGGAGGGAATTGGAACCAATTGATCAGTCGAACCGAAAGCTTCTGGGGTGCTGTATGAGAAGTCAGGAGTGCAAGCGGTTGGTGTTGAAATTGAGTGGTCCCGTCGCTTTCGAGAATGATTCTGAAGATCAACCCAGATATTTACGCTTGATTGAAAAACAGGTATCCATAGAAAGCGGAAAAGAAGCCTGGAGTGAACCAAAATTAGCATGCTTAATTCATTAAAGATTAAGTCTTTTGCAATACTAATACTTACATTTGTACTTGATCGTCTGGATCATACAAACCATTCTCAATTTGGGTAAGTATATTATCGATGATTGATCGGTTGTGTTGTTTCATCATTTGAGACCAAAGCGACTCGATTCTTTGATTTCTTGTAGACTTGGTGAAGTGCATTCGATTGGAAGCCTCTTCAACAGTGAGCTGTCTGCCATCTTTAATTCCATGATGATATGACAAGTACATTTGCCAGGTGGCCATTTCGACAGTCTCGGATCCAAAGTCAGTCGTAACTTTCAAAGGAATTCCTCCTAACCGTGATGCAAGGTGAAGGAAGTAGACCCCAATATGACGGGGATCGTTATTTGTGATGTGAACAAACATTCCTAAGACCTTCCTGGACCAGGCGTCGATGAAACCGTATACCGTAATTCCAAACCTTTTCAGCTTATCATGACCATCACATGACCAGATGTGATTGGGACCATATGTTTGAAAGACCCGACGTTTACAGGTTTGACGAAGCCGGGCAGCCATCCCCTCAGGATCAACATCTCGGAGTACATCGTAAACAAGTTGTCTGAGGATGCCAGGGTTAATAACATGTGCATATTGATTCATTGAATGGAAGGAAAAAAGCTCACTAACCTCGGAATGTTGATAGAATATTGTCTAGCCAGGATAGTCCGCATCCTTCGGTAGCCAGCGTTGTTGTGTAACAAGAATCTTTGAGCATGGTCGACAGCTTCATAAACTTGATCAAGGCTGACTTTCCCGCTTTCCACATCGTTTACAAGGAGTTTTAGGTTGAGCTTCTGCAAGTAACGTTTGACTGTACGGATCTCGACGTGGACATCAGTCTCTTTGGCCAGGCGAGCTTGAATTTCACGAGTATTCAGTCCTTTCGAGTGTGAGGATATGATTGATGCTCGGACTGCAGGATTTATATTCAATGGAGTTATGAGTTGAGGAAGATTGCATTGTCGAAGGCCCCATTTTTCGCGATGGCAAGTGAGGGTTCGGGTTGACCATTTAATACCATGTTGAATTTCTAATATCTCGAGTACTTTGGGACCTTTGAAGCCTTCCAGAAAAAGTGTCTCGAGGAGAGCCTTCAAATCATCTTCAGAAGGGGGGGTTGATGGTATTGAATTTTTTTCTAAGTCCGAATCAGGATCCAATGTATCATCATCACCTGATGTTTCAGTTACATCAGAAGTGGTGATATCTTCCATTTTTTTTGGATTAAAGATAGAGTCGGGGTGCGGAGATGAATGAGCGTGCTAATGCTGAATGCTGGATGTGGCTGTCTGGTAAGCTTGCTTGTCGATAGAAGTGATGTACTCTTCTCACATGACAGGTGTTATATTGAACACTTGTTGTTATATGTGTCATGGCAGGATTTCGGAGGAGTTGACAGCTGTACAGGTGATCTGTACAGCTGTATCAAGCCTCAAAAATCAAAAATCAAAAATCAAGCGGTGGCTCGATACCTGTCCCCCCTGGGCTTCCGTAAGTTGCTGCACACACCTTTCACTTGGCCTCCCCTCATGACACTCCCGTGACAGTCCTCCTCCCCTTCGCCGATCGCTCAAGACCTTCAAGAAAGAGAGATTGGTCCAGTTGACCCTTACAGTTGACCTTCTTGATACTTCCGAGTTGAACTGCTCGAATCGGAACATCGCAATCCAGTCATCGGAATAGGATCGGCAATCGGGACCGGATATCGTGTTGGAGTTACATAAACTCGCCGGAATGATCAAGCCAACGGATGAGCAGTTCTGGTCAGGTACGCCGTTTCTCTACCTATCTTCTAACCCGGAATGTGTTGGATGAGATGCGCTAATATAATTGAACCACTGCCCATCTGAAGTGTTTCAGCAGGTCTTGTCAATCCATCCCACCGCGCAACTTTCTGAACTCGATGGCGCTCTGACTCAGTCTCTCGACATGATGGGGTCCAACCTGGGTGAGCAATCCATCGCTTGGTCGAATTTCCGTTGAATAATCACTCTGAATTCATGGATCGGCTTCCTCGTGACACCAGCTGGCCACCTATCCGACGAAGAATCCCTCCATCATGCGGTCTCGACCCTACTTCATAGTCCCTTATTCCTCAACCACAGTCAAAGAGTCACCAATTCGATCATCCTCATCCTAATCGACGTAAGTCAGTCCTCTGAGTAACTTTCCTCTCAGCAGCCTTCCAACCCACCCAGTCACCAGCTTCATCCTTACCTTCACAAGATTCAACTGCGGTTTAGCCATATCGACCCTTGTTGATTTTGATCCCTCGGATAATCTTATCAACAAAATCTCCTCCGTCTCTCGCACTCATCAATACAACAGCCATCAACACCGCTCCCATTAATATTCGTTGCATGCCTCGTCCTCCTACTCAACGGCTTCGAAAATTCCCTCTTTTTTCGCACCCTACGCACCATCAACCTATCTGCGCTGCACCTCACCGACTCATCCTCTCCAAGCACTCACCTCAGCCCGTCTGCCGAACTCTCCCAGCTGATCCCCGTCTTGCTTGCGATCGGTACCCGAGTCGGATTGGTCCCTTCGTCATTCATCAACCCTCTCTATAACCATTCGCATTCAAATCAGCATCGTACAGATACCATCTCAGACTGCTCATCTTCCAGCTCAGCCAACGAGAGGTATGCCGAACGCAAATTGGGACCTCTCCTTTCTGGATTGCTTTATGAGTTATGTCGGGTACAAAAGCTAGAAGATGGAACTCTGGGCTTGTTTTCGGAACAGCTGATCGATAATCTATTCCAATTGGTTGAATTAACTCGGGACCAAGAGGATGAGACATTCAATTATAATCTTATCAAGCTCATCGTCAGTACCTCGCCCCTTCTAATCTTTTTCTTGGTTGTTTTCGTTTGACTGTAAAGTCTATTTGGAATCCATTAACTGATCACGTATCGTACTGAATCAGATTGCTCTCAATGAACAATTCATGCTAGCAGGCTTACACCACGAATCATCGCTGAAACCAATTAATAACACCCCTCGCCACCACCGACGCAAAAGTCATCATGCTTCAGATGCAGAAAATAACATCATAATTCGCACAATGAAGCTTCGTCTAGACGAGAGCAAAACGTTTGGCGAGAACCTAATTTTTATCCTCAACAGAGCATCACATTCCACCTCCGAAGGCTTATGTGTATCACTCTTAATTCTCAAGATTCTATACCTGTTGTTTACAACCCCAGGAACTCATGAGTATTTCTATACTAATGACCTGTGCGTCTTAGTCGACATCTTCATCCGGGAATTGTCAGATCTTCCTGACGAGAGTAATGATGTGAGTTCTATAATTACTCAATCCAACAACACTCTACTTAGACTAACCTTATTCTATATCCTTTCTGCCAATTTCAGCTTCGCCATACTTACCTCAGAGTACTCCATCCGCTTCTAACTCATACTCAATTACGTAGTTATCCCTACAAGCGAGAACAAATACGACATGTACTCCTGTCGCATATCAAATACGCCCACTTACAAGACGTCAACGCAACCACCAGAAGACTGGTAGATAGGAATCTACAATCTGAATGGTGTCTTGAGCTCGAAAGGACAACTGACTCCCTGAGGAGACCTGGATTGGCAAAGCTCAGCTGCGAGCCCATGCGATCACTTAGTGTGGAGACTGTTGGGAGTCAATTAAGTGGTGGTGGGAGTATTGCAGAGGTGATCACATCAAATTCAGGTAGCATGCCCCAATCTGGTTCATCGACAGCATTAGGGGGATCTCATCAATCTTGCCCCACATCACCATCGCCCAATCTTCAGTCCCATAACACTGCCTTATCCAATCCCCACTCTATTTCACAGGGGGTCCCTTCATCGGTTGTCCTCAATAGCCTCTCCCAGGCGTTTGTGCAGGTGGTCATCGCTGAATCTCATGAATCTTCTGAGGATTCGCAACTCACCCGGCCCATTCAGCCTATCGCATCATCACCGTCGTCACCGAAGGCGATTGATAGACCGCCTTCAATAGTTAGTACTCGGTCGACCAGTCCAAACTCCGATAACTCCCGAAGACCTAGTTCATCTTGTTCCATGTCACACTCTCCTGCCCGACGGCCTGCCCCTAAACCCCCGACCTCAAAGCGCAAGGGACAGTCTAGTTCTCACCTATCTCCTGACCCGAATCCGGCCGGGCCAAGTTCTACTGGGATTCCCGCAGCAAGACAGTATGAGAACGATCAGTATTACGTGCCTGCTAGGCTGACATCAACGGAAGGGGGAGAGTTGGAGGCATACCGACGGGCATCTGTACCCATTCCGGACTCACTGAGCCCCTCGTCATCACACCGGCCCAGTCCCCGTCCGCTGGATAAGCCCCTCCGCCGAGCAGCGCCTTCCCCGCCCTTGCCACTCAGCCCAGCCCACCCTGACGAACCTAGACTGCAGCAGAGCAGCAGGAGGAGGAAAGCGCCCCTGCCGCCAACAGAGCCTTTCAGCAAACTCCGATCTACTAAGAGTAGCAGCCATCTGACTCCGCATTCCTCTACTCCCATCCCCTGCACACCCACTTGGAAATCTGTACACGGTCGGGTTGTTTCTCTCTCCCGTGATAAAACCGACTCCACCCTTGCCCCTTATCCTGATTCTCATGTTGATAAAAGTGATAATAACCCCTTTGGAGAATAAATGATTTATATGTCTTTGGTTTCAGTTTCACTTAGATTTCCTACTTATCTCTGTTATTTATTATCCCCCTGTTTTGTCCTCTGCATTATCATCTTTCTTTCTCTTTATAATGTTGCATCACCTTTTCTCTCCTCTCTAAGAAATTCTACTTCATGAAGAGTCCAGAAAGTTGGTTGAGATTTGCTTGAAAAGAAACAGATGCTTTGATCCTTCAAGGTGAAAGATCAAGTTGTGCAGGCCCCTGGTAGAGTTGGACAAGCCATTGGTGTCCACAAACTTTGATTTGTAGGGTTGCTGGTTTAAATATCAAACCTGGGTGAGAGGGGTATTGATGTCATTTTACTTGCCCCTCCCCTGTTATTTGACAGACATGATACATCATGTTTGAAATCACATCTGTGGAAATCTGGTCCAAGTCCTACCAGATCAATGTGGAGTTTCCCCTGGGCAATCTGGGACAAGCTGTACAATCACACATTGACTTGGCAAGCTGCATACAATCTTTCTTGGCTGAAGAGTAGGCAGTTACATTCCTTTCTGTCACAGCAATATTCTGTAGTTGGGGAATGTGACATTTGTGTCATTGAGTTTACCTTTTTTATCTATCAACAAGACTAATTTTGGTTGCATTGTATTGTGAAAAATGTTTTTTTTTTCTTTTACATAATACATACAAAGGAAAAATAAAAGTAAAACTTTTGCCTTTTATGTTTATTTTTTCATATTCATTTTCTGGGACCTATTCTGCACCACTTGACCAATTTCCATGACTTCAATCTGGTGCTGTGAAGCTCTGGAATCCGAAATAAGCAGCCAAAAATGACAATCCACCCACTGTACCTGGACCTGCAACAGCACAGAAACAGGTTTCCATCCCCCAATGACCCCAGGTGGGCACATACTTCTTTTGTGATGTGTTGCCCATACTTTTCAGACCAGGCTCCAGATATTGAGGCATGTTTAGCTAGAGCCCAATTGTCATCCCTTTAACCATAATTCATAAATAATCAGTACTTAGTCAGTGAGAAAGTGTTTTCAACTTGAGAACAATCCATCTACAAGCTCATAGTCATATTGGCAACAATAATTGTCAATTGTCAATTTTCCCCATCTCCGCAGAACCATTTTGTGTTTGTTGATCAACATTGCAGATCATAAACCCTATGTTGGAAACATAAATTTGGACAAGTTTAATTTGTTGCATTTTCAGAAAGGAAACTTCCCTTTTATTTTTGAAAGTGAATGAATAATTACAGGACTTCCTCTTGAGATCTACAGACTCTGCTGAATAAAGTTTAGGGCTTCTTGAACTATCAACTTCCTGTCAAGATCTGTGGGTCTCCCAGAAGCCATTTAGAGCGGGAAAGCTAGATTGGACGACTTCCCGTCAAGATCTGCAGGTCTCCCAGTTTCCATTTAGAGCTGAAAAAGCTAGATTTCCCTGCAAAAATCTAGACTTTTTGGGTCTAAATCGAAAACTGCGAGGGTCCCAGAGGAAGTCCTCCATTGGAGGACTTCCCGTCAACATCTGCGGGTCTCCCAGAGCCGGTTTAGAGCCCCGAAATTCAAATTTCATTGTTTCCCTGCGAGAATTAAAAGTTTTTGGCTCTAGATAGACTTCTGTGAGGGTCCCAGATCCGACGGGAAGTCCTCCATTTACCTGCAAAAATCTAGACTCTTTGGGTCTAAACCAACATCTACGAGGGTCCCAGATTCGATTTCCCCCGCAAACTTTTCAGATCTCAATGAGCCCAGAGTCCCTTTGAGTCCAGTTCCCCTTGAGGCTTGAGCAAGGACTTGATCAAACTTTTGAATTTCGAAGTGGTTGGCAACACAATCCTGTGATAACTGAACAGGCTCAGATCGAGTGCAAGCTGTCTCTAAGATAGAGGGGCTCGACCCTTTGAGGCGTCACTACGAGAGCCTAATTAGGGGCTCGGTTCTTGTAAAAGGGTAACGTTTGTCAGCATCTCATCAAAACAACTTCAATCCATCCCAAATTATCTACGTTGCCTGCAATCTTCCAACTCCGTCACCCTCCTCCAGTCACATAGTAGTAATCAGAAGCTCGTTCAACATCGTAAACCCAATCACCGCTGGCTTGGGTTTCTTGGACCGCCGTCTTTTGTCGGTACTGGCGCTGTTAACTTCTACTGCGGTCAATCAATTTACTCCTGAAGTGAGAACAATCGGCTACGGCTACTTCCTCCTCAAACCTGCGTTGATCGACGGTGCTACTTCGAAATTAGTCAATTCAGGCGCGAATCGCTTCTCCGATCGCACTCACCGCTTTCAAGTGAGGCTGCTGCAGTCTTCCTCTTTTCTTCAGGCGTCGCTCTTAACCCAACTTTTGCACCTGCTATTCCTACCTGTAGCACAGTACCGATCAGGCCTTCTCATAACGTACACAAGAAGTTAGTATATCCGTGATGGCACTTGAAAGGGTTTGCATCCATTGACTCTTCGGCTTGTTTCATTGGAACGACTCTTGCTTACCCATGTCTTCTTATCAGGTGTCTTGTACATCCTGTGCGTCTGCGGGATTCGGTCACTCATGCGAGCTGGATATTGCACTCAACTCCTGTAAGAGGTGCCTACAAACTCAGGGAGAGTGTTCTTATCTCTCGAACTGTAAGCTATTTTGGGTAGCTTGATCCTTGGGAAAGCATCCGAGCTAATCGTGCGGTCTTGAATTTTTTTATTTAGCGGTAGAACGTACGATGGCTATGCTCCAGGCCATCTCTGATCAACAAGATTCTCTTCTTCATGAAATAGAGCTTCTCAGTGCTCGGCTGGCTAACATGGCTTTGGAGACAGAACATCTCGAATGGTACGAAAGGATATTGAGTGCTCAAGCGGATGATAGTATTAGGACTGGCCATTTGTTTCCTCCCCTTATCACTAGGACTAGTCTTCCTGGGAGAAGACATAAGTTTGTGGTTTATATTCTTTGAATCAGATTCACATCATTCATGCAGGATCCCCTCTTTCTCACTCAACCATCATTGCAAAAGACAAAAGACGCCTTCAACAGATGTTGTTGAAATTCGGGTTTTCCTGCATACCAAGTCTCACTTTCATCAATCTTCGACAACACCTAATATTATTTTACAATTCTCCTGTACTCATCCTAATATATGTAATGTTCTAATTTATCATGATTTCCATTAAAACTTCAAATCATGATATGTATTGGTAAGGGTGTTCCTTGTACTTGGTGACCTGCCTCATTACCACATCTTTGAAGCTTACTGAACTATATGCACAACAATTTGGGACTGTTGGGGTAGAACTTTCCTTATTTAGTTATGACCATGAAAAAGGTTTGTACAGAATGGCCGCTCACACACCCCAGCTGACTATATTTCCATGATTGACTAGGTTGGTTCAGGCCCACTAGAGCTTGGGTGAACATGGTTAATTAGGAATATTGATGAGACTCTTGGCAAGAGGAAAAAGTATTGAAATGTGAATGGTGCAGCTGACACCATTCACATCTCATTTCAATCCGTCTGCCTCTTATGAATAATCCAATTCAGATTCCTATCATCAATCAGCTGTGTTGCATGTAGCATATCTGTTCTTAGTTAGATGTTTTGATGGTTCCTCTATTTACATAGGAGCTTGGTTGATTGACTCCCAAAAACTGAAGAGTTGACTCCTGAACCCCAGGAACGTCCTGAGGACTGTCTGAAGACGGCAGACCTTCTCAGAATCACATTTTAAAGACCTTCTCAGAATCACATTTTCAATGCTAACAAAACCCCTCTCAAATTAACGTCAGGATGTGATTGCAGTATCTCATAAAATTTTTTGCCCATCCCTATATCACACAATGTTGTATTGGATGTTTTTGGCAAGGAATTACCAATCAAAGGGATCATTATAACCCTCACACTCAATTCCAGAACATCCCTCTTTGAAAAGTTCCTTCTGAAAGTTTGTGCAGATTCTGCCTCCCAAGATTTTACACCATACATTAAAGGATGCTGGGCCTGAGAGGGGGGGTTATAGGTTAGGTGAATCTTGAGGGAGGTTCATGGTAGATTAATGTGCAGAGGTTGAATAAAGCTCTAGAATTATAAACACCTGGAAAATTAATGACCATTAGCAAGGTAGGTGGGAGGGGATAAATTATCTCACTAAATGTTTCCTGAAAATATGATAGCAAAGTTGACCACACATTGATTAGCTTGAGGTAAATTTATGTGTGATCTCTGTGACTGTAGCCTTCCACTTTTTTTGAGACTTCAATGTTTTTGGCCAGAAATAGTGAGTCTTTGATGAATATCGTAGTTGTGGGAAACCTCATCAGAGGTCTCCTTTCCCTCTCACCAAAGCATAATCCAAAAAGGCCAACCATGTTGATTTTTGGAGGGTGACAGTACTGGGGAGACTGAAATCCTCTGCGCAAAGAATCTTTTCCCATATACAAAATTAAAGTCAAATCCAAACTTGATAAGTATGTAACCAAGCTAATTGTAAGTGGCAGAGGATTAACAGTTGTCTACAAGGCAGAATTTCTTGATGTATTTAAGTAAAAGGTTTCCATTTTCTTGAGATTTGGTGGCCATGCTTGGGAAGTACTAGGTGGCTGTTGCAGTTGATGGCTTGAAGAGTGAAGAGTGAAGAGTGTTGAGTCAGATTAAGAGGATGGTGGCAGTTGCAGCCGGGTGGTTTTGGGAAGTTTTTGTCGATCGGTTGAGCCCAGGCCGAGGCCGAGCCGAGTCTCAACCAAACCGAAAAAAAAAAAAAGGAAAACAAAAGAAAAGAAACCTGCCGAGGAGATGGCCTTCCTCAGAACAATCCTCGGGAGAACGACAACGACGAGCAAACTACTGAACCCTCTGAACCAACAGCAGGCCAACCAGTTCTCGATCGGACAACAGCTGTTTGTTTGGGGACAGCGGAAGAAGAACCAGGTCGACAAGAACTTCAAGATCTACAAGCCCGTCACACCCGCCATCCGACATCTCAGACTGCCCAGGAACGACCATCTGCACAAGGGACGATGCTATCTCCCGCTGACCCTCCCGAAGAAGAAGACCGGCGGGAGGAATAACTCGGGTCGGATCACCACCAGGCATATCGGCGGAGGACACAAACAGAGGCTCAGGATGGTCGACTTCCACAGGAACCTCTCCGGCCCACAACTCGTCGTCAGAATCGAATATGATCCCGGAAGATCCGCCCATATTGCGCTCATCAAACATGTTCAATCCGGCGCACTCTCCTATATCCTCGCCCCCCTCAACCTCCGCCCAGGACAGATCGTCCAGAGCTTCAAGACAGGGATCCCCAAGGACTTGCTCAACTCCTCAAACTCTATCTTAGACCAACCAACCCCAGAAGCCAATCCAGCAGGTCAACCATCGACAGTCGCCTCTCAGGGCGTAGGAGAACTGATCAGTGCCAAGGAGGTTTCAAACTCGACACTGACCTTAGGACTACTTCGGACATTGACGATCAAGCCGGGCAACTATCTACCGATCAGACTGATTCCCGCCGGGACGACGATTCATGCGATCTCACTCAAGCCGGACGGGAAAGCCAGTTTGGTGCGATCGGCAGGCACGTTTGCCAAAGTGGTCTCGTTAGGCCACCATCATCGGAAGACGAAAGCCTCCTCCAAACAAGCCTCGTCCGTTCAACAGCAACAACAACAGCAACAACAGCAACAGTCAACAGGTGCACAAGAGCAAAAGACCGACCAGAGAGACTTACACGACCTCCAAGACCATCAGGGCGATTACGCCCAGATCAAACTACAGAGTGGTGAGATCCGCTTCGTCCATATGGATGCCTGTGCAGCGATCGGCTCAGTTAGTAACCCTCATTGGCAAGGCCGGAAACTGGGGAAGGCAGGACGAGTACGATGGCTGGGTCGACGGCCCAGAGTCCGAGGAGTAGCCATGAACAAGTTCCGTCGTCTTTTTTACCCCATCTGCCTATTTCATTCTTGACCACAAGAACAGATACTAATACTTTCTTTTTTTTTCACAGGGTCGATCATCCATTAGGGGGAGGAAGAGGGAAATCGAAGTCCAACAAACAGCCTGTTTCTCCCGCGGGACTGAAAGCGAAAGGATTGCGGACCCGTCGTCCGGGCCCTCGGGGCAACCAAATGGTCGTCAAACAACGCCCCAAAGGCAAACACGTCGGCAAATAAATCTCGCCACCCTCTTCCACCCGCTCCTTGCTTTGCTATTTGTTCCCCATACATACTGGTGTAGAACGAGAGTTATCGACCTCAAAAGCCAATTTAAACGTCCGACAAATCACTTTTGCTCGCGTTAATAATCGGAGTCATGCCACATACTCAGGGTGTGAGAGTCCAGGGGATTTGGCTGATGAGCCCACTCAATCGACAGAATTCAGAAGTCAGAAAGACACAAACCCACACTGCTTCACACAGTATTTTACCCGGAGCTCTCCCCACCTTAAATTCACCTCTTATGTTGCATGAGATTAGAAATATGTAAGAGTGAATTTAACACAACACACGATATTTATGTAGCTTAGAATCGAGATGATCCGATCTCATGGGATTCTCATCAGCTTGCGAGATGATCACAGGCTGCAACGTTTTACCTTGAACATATGAGGGTTCATTTCAAGAGTTGGCAGTGAAGGATGGTCTGTATAGCTTAACACGCTGAAAGCCTGTGAGGTTGATATCTGTTGGCTTGTTCAAACCTAGCCAGACTCATGAGGCTAAAATACATATACTGGAGAAAATTGATTGAGATAAGACCACCATCACAACAGCGTGTTGCTTGAAAAGATTGGAAGCGTTTTTTGTGGGCAAAAATCTCCTCAATCCCCTTGACGCCAGTACAATGGTCGGGCACGACTGCCCTGTTCAACTAACTGCACCGAGTCATGAAATTGACAAACCCACAATGGACTTCGAGTTCATTGATAGTCCCAGATGTCAATGCAGATCATTAAGAAGATAATTGACTGTTAAATATATTTATATTTGTGAACAAAAATGCGAGTAGCGAGAAGATCAAGAACAAGAACTAGTGACTTTGATAGCACTAAAGATGAATCCACCATGATGAGTGCCGTTCATTTCAGGGTGAGTGCGGCCGACGAGGACCTGATAGGCCCTCAGCCAAGGCTCGGAGATAGTGATCTGGATGAATTCGGTCTTGGTTTCTCTCATCTGTCTGGATAGCTCATTCTGTTCCCCCGGCGATGAAGATGATGATGAGGAGGAGGATGTCGACGGGACTGATGATTTTTTGAGTAGGGTTTGGAGGTCCGATAGCGGGCGTAAGTGACAGGAGTATATCACAATCGTCGATGAGCCTGTCAGCTTAGTCAGGAGCTTTGTGACGATCGACTCGGGTTCATATTCCGAGCATGTGATCAACCTATAACGTTAAGCGCAAATCCATCAGCTCCAAGGATCCTTTTGTCTTGAGTGATTGGTCAACCTGAAGATGGTATCGTACCCTTCAAATCCAGTCTCGAAAAACTCTCGACGAACGTTCAAGAGATCTTGCACGCGTTCGAATTTCTTTTTAGATTTGGATCGGTTGTTTGGTTCTTTTTTGGGACGATTGGATGATGAATCAACTGAAGGATCCAGAGGAGTTGGTGGTTCAAGAACAGGAGGAGGCTGAGGAGGACCTTGATGAAGTGAGAGAAGCTCTTCGATCTCATTAGTCGTCCAATCGGCTTCTATTTGGGCCCAGTTCAACGATTTCAAGGGTTTCATAGTCGACGGGGACAGGTTAAAAAGCTCTAATAAGTGTAGATCTGGTGGAGAATCTGCATTGTTTATTACAAAAATCGTTCCTTGACCTATGATCGACCCAAGAATAAGTGACAAGATTAGCCCTCAACAACAAAGGATAGCTCTTTCAAAAAATAGATAGTGATAAAAAATGAACTTACCGCCCATTCGTATCAGGACTGCAGCAACCAATAGACCACCAATCTCATCAATAACGATCCCCTTCCATCCCGGTCGAACATTTGATAGACTGAGCATTTGTGACAGCGTGTCTGGCCTTAAACCTTTGACTGCAAAATGATGATTCTCAAACAAATATTGTGATAGATTGTGAATTGTAGGGTCTATACATGTGAACATCTTCATGAATCTATGGTAATGTTTTCTTATCAGTCTATGATCGTTATGGGCTCATGATTGATCAAATCTACTGCGTACTTTTTCTCTTTCCGTTTAATATATTTGGCTTTACTGAATTCTGACTTTAATTCGAATGCAGAATGTTGTTGAATCTGTCTTAGGATGATTTCCTGTTGAGTTGAGTTGATTTTTTTTTTGAGTCAGTCCTCCTGAATTGAGTTTGTATATTTTTGGGAGAGTGATTCATTTGACTTACTCGACCACTGAGACCGGATTTCTTGAGTTCTTCAATCTCTTGATTTGTTAGCTTTTGAGCCCCATCACTTTCTTTGATCAATTCATTGGTGGCCTCTATATCTTCTACATTAGCTTCCATCGAAAATCGAGAGTCCTCCCCAATCAAAAGAATAAACAATTATGGAAGATAGGAAATGCATGAAGGACGTGTCAGCTTTTGTGTTGATCTATCCTTTATATTAGTAAAATTGTGGGATTAAATGAAAAAAGAACTCAAAACAGATTCCATTAGCCATCCCCTTGATGCTCTCAAATGACTTCATCTCATCGATCGTCGTATTTGGCTCGACCGCGAGGATACTCTGATCATACAAGACGAGTTTACCATCCTCCAAAATTTCGAAGGTGAGGCCGAAGGGCTGATTGATCAATTCATTGGTTTGGAATTTGCCGAATTTACCTAGACTAACCGAGCTGTGAATTGAATAGAAAGCACATTGGCCATTAGTCTTCACTCTTTCTTTCTTTCTTGATTCCTAATAATAATATAAAAATTCGATGGTGTTTTCTCATACCTGTCGGCTGTTAGGTTCTTGATTGTCCTCGTCTGACCCGATGGTAGTTTCAAGAGAAGGTTGTCTCCCGCTGAAATCGTCCTGGTCATCTCCGTTTGGAATTTGTTGTCGCTCGAAAGTTCCCCACCGACACAGCAGCCGACCGGAACACTTGGCACCGACTGGCATTATGCATATGGGCCATATTGCATATCTACTACCCTCCGGCGCAGAAAACCGGAGTTCGGGCGCAGCATCAGGCTCTGGAAACTTGACAAAATTGCTTGAATGCCAGTGAAAAACGTGGAGGGGGTGACACGGAACTTGCTGAAAAAAGAACAGATTCAGCAGATCATGGGTTTGTGAGGAAATTGAGACTTAAGATCCCCTAAATGTTTAAAACAGGCAGAGACTGGCCAGTTCTTCCTAGGATTTCAAAGCCCGGTGCCGGCGGGAAGAAATTCACCATCAAGAGGCATGCATGCCTTCCATGAGCAGAAACCGCTGGCCACGAGTTACTTGTACTGTTAGAGTAGTGACGGAAGATGACGGAAGATACAAGATTACTACATACTTTAGACCACGTACTATGTACTTACATAATCTTAACCTAGTTAGTGAGAGTCCCAAACCTAACCTAGATTATTGTTGTACATAGTATATAGCCTGATCTGTCCCGGTCCCGGCTCCTTTTCTCTTTTCCTCACCGAGATTGGAGACCGGGATTTGCCGTGCCGAAGCTTACCGTGACGGGACACTCTTGATCAGGTTAGTTATCTTTTCTCTATCTTTCATGCAATCAATTACCGAGATTGGAGACCGGGATTTGCCGTGCCGAAGCTTACCGTGACGGGACACTCTTGATCAGTGCCCATTTGCCTCGAGCATCTTATAGGTTAAAAGCCGGCTTTCGTGTGTCACGTAGCATCTCCCCGGGATCTCTATAAGGTCATCGATAGGATCATAGATGAGTAATTGGTTCGGAATAACCCAACAAGAAAGAACTAGAAGAGAAGAAGAAATAAACCATCAAACGAATACCATTCAAGGCAGATCAAGAGATATCGAAGACGATATCGATTCACACTCATCATCAAACTCCTTTTCATCAACTCCCTCATCCCCTATCCTCAGCGAATCTAACCGTAGAATGTCGCAAAATCAAAACCCACCCCCACAGGACCAGGACATGTCCCCTGAACAAGCGAAGCAACTCCTCCTCCTCATGCGCAACGAGGTCGCTACTTTGCGTACGACTGTCGAAACGCTGCAGAGCAACCCCACCTCCGCTGCCCAAGCTCCCCCTGCTGCCCCACCGACCGACAACCAATCCCTCGGAAGTATCTTACTCCAAAACTTCTGTCGATCCCCTTTATCCGCACATAAAGAAATCAACCCTCGGAAGCCCATCCTGGACTACGACGGTGTCAATTTTCAAGTCTGGCACGATGCCCTCGATCGGACTCTAATGCACTTCTTTATGAAGGACAAATCTTTCATTGAGACTGCCGATAACTTCAACGGCCTGTCATCGACTGAAAACTCGTCGATCGCTAGCATCATACGCAACACGATCGAAGACCAGCTCATTGGCATCGTCGAAAGCTCAAAACTGAAGGCCCCGCTTGAGTTGTACAACCTGCTGAAGACCAACTGCAGCAAGTCCGACCGCCGCCACAAGATCGAATTAGTGGACAAGCTGATGGCCCTTGCGACCGATCCGAACCCATCGGACGGCTTCACCCTTTCAAAGTGGGCGACTGTCGTCGCGGAGCTTGATCAACTTAAGATCGAATGGCCCGAAGTCTGTGGCCTGCTGTTGCAAACGGCGTTTAAACCCCCGATCGGTGTAGACACCAAAACATTCGAATTCTCTGTCGATCAGCAACTGGATGCGAAGGACAAGCCAGCGTTTGCAGATGTTTCTTCGGTAATCCAGTCGGCTACCGGAAAACTCAAATCCAAAGTCTCCGGCAACGGCCCGGTGCCGATGGATCTTGATCGCATTCAAGCAATGAATTCGAACAAAGCGTACGTTGCGCCGCAACGCCGTCACCCCCCTCCGCACCAGTCAGCCGACCGCCAACATCCCAAAGTGTCGATTGATAAAGCCACCCACTACAAAGGGAAAGGCCAATCTGAGGCTCTACTCAACAAGTATGGACACTCCTGTGTCTACTGCGAGAGGGAAGGCCACTGGTACTCGGACTGCCCTAGTTTCTGGAAAGATGTCGCCACCAAGAAGATAGCCACCCCTCCTGATAACTACGCCTCGACCGAGTCGCACTATCACCCACCGCGTCGTCCAGACAATGACCGCCTCCGTCAAGTGAACATCCCAAACGTGACGGAGGGTTGCCTGCTTGACTCTGGTGCATCTGCCCATGTAAGCGGTGATTCTCCTCTCTTCAAAGTTGAACGGAAGCTGACGCAACCTCGTACATTCTACCTGGCTGTTTCTGATTGCAATGTTACGGTTTCAACGATTGGCAGTGTGACGATTCCAACGCCGAAGGGACCTCTGACGATTAACGATGTGTACCACTGCCCCGGTGTTGACGGTATCATCTTATCAACGGGACACCTACTGTCGGATGGCTGGAAGCTGTTATATGAAGGAACGGATGCTACCCTAGTGGACCCTTGTAATAATAGTTATGAAACCATCTTCCATAATTATTGTTGGTCTTTGAAAACCGAACCCCATATCCAGTCAATGAAAATCACCCACATTCCCTCTTTTGATCCTTATATTTGGCATGTGAGACTTGGCCACGTCAGCGACAAGGTTGTTAAGAACTTCCTCCGCATCAATTACCTGGAAAGAAAGATCGCCTGGAAGCCGTTCTTTTGTGAACAATGTGCTAAGTCTAAGAGCATTGACAAGAAGACGCTTGGGATGGAAACATTGATTCCGAGAGAAGACCCGCTCGATTTTTGCGTCTCGGATGTTATCGGCCCACTCAATCTAGACATCAACGGGTGTCGTTTTTTAGTAACGCTGAGAGATCATGCCAGCACATACACCTTTTGTGCACCCATGGCCACCCGGAGCGAGGTCCCTAACAAGATTCTTGCATGGATTCGCCACCTGAAGACAGTCACCGGAAAATCTCCTAAGTACTTGCGGTGTGATAATGCGTTGGAATACACCAAAAGCCTGTCGCCACAGCTTCAAGCTCTCGGGACAACCCTCGCGCCTGTTACCCCCTATTCACCGGAGCAAAATGGAGAAGCGGAGAGAGTCAACCGAACTCTGGGGGATATGGCCAGGACTATGCTACATTCTAGCAAACTGTCCAGTATCTGGTGGTCCTATGCGTATTCCACGGCAGCCCATCTCCACAACCGCATACCAAACTCGAGAACAGGCGACAAAACACCTCTTGAATTACTCTTCAAGATCAAACCAAAGGCCAGCACACTCTTTCCGTTTGGAGCCAAAGGAATCATCCATGTCCCCAAGGAACGCCGGACCAAGCTGGAGGAGCGGGGTCAGGAAGGTCAATTGCTTGGATACCCAGACGCGGGAGCTGGATGGATTTTTTGGGTCCCGAACGAGAAAAGAATGATCCACTCGGCCTCAGTGACTTTTCCCGAATTCCAGAAGCTCCCGGTCAAGCCAGTGTCAACGACAACCAGTGACGACCTTGTTCCAAAGCCCAAAGCCGACAAAGTGGACGTTGACTTCATCCTTAAGCAGATTGTGTTACGTCTTGGAGAAGAGCGGACTGCCGAAATAGCTGAAGAAGAAAGCAAGCAGCTGTCCCTCCTCCCAATAGCTGAAGAGCACAACCTGCCGAAGAACATCAAGCAAGCGCTTGCTGGACCCGACGCCGAACTTTGGAGGGCCGCTGCGGAGTACGAGATGTTGAAGTTTGGACAGCTTGAAGTTTGGGTCCCGGTTGTCGCACCAAAAGGAAGTAAAGCCCTAGGTGCTCGTTGGGTATTCTCCATTAAGAGGAAGCCCGACGGGACGATTGACAAATACCGCGCGCGATATGTGGCTAAGGGCTTCAACCAGCAAATGGGTCTTGACTACAATGAAACATATGCTCCAACGGCCTCGCTCAACATTCTCAGATTTCTCATCTCTCTCAGCCTGTCCCACAATTTTCCGACTGCGACTTTTGACGTCAGCTCAGCATATCTGTACAGCCCCATTGAAGAAACGGTCTACATCCAACCCCCCGTCGAAATAAAGCCCTCTTTGAAAGGAAAAGTCATGTTGCTGAAGAAGGCGCTATACGGTACGAAGCAGGCGGCTAGGTGTTGGTGGAAATTTTTTCAGCAAACTGTACAGTCCTTAGGTTTTGAAGCAAGCGAAATTGAGCCATCACTCTACCTCTTCCAGCGGAATAATCAATTCATCATCATTTGGCTTCACGTTGACGATGGGTTTGCACTATCTTCTGACCAAACTTTACTAGATGATCTGAGGAAAGGAATGGAAAGTAAGCTAGAGATCAAATGGTCCAACAACGTCCAACGACTGGTAGGCATCGACTTCGTTTGGGATGGCCCTCATCTGCGACTCAACCAATCCATCATGGCCAACCAGATTGTAGAATCGTACCACAGGAAAACTTTCTCACATCACTGCCCACTTCCTGAAGTTGAACTTGAATCATACTCCGGCGACCCAATAGACCAAACTGAATTCCGGTCAGTCATTGGTTCTCTTATGTACCTATCCTGTGGAACGCGACCAGATCTTGCATATGCGGTCAACATGCTTGCTCGGTTCTGTTCGGCACCATCGGCGGTACATTGGGCGGCTCTTGATTGGCTCATTGGTTATTTGGGAAGGACGAAGGAAAAGGGTTTGGTATACAGGGCTGGAACTGGCGGTTTGGACTTGTGGACAGATGCGAATTGGGGGGGCGAGCATGAGAGATCAACGACGGGTTACTTGTTGACACACGACGGAAACAGCATCGCGTGGGGGTCAAAGAGGCAAACGGTGGTGGCAATGTCGACGTGTGCGGCGGAATACCTGGCACTTTCGGAAGGAGCTCAACAACTTTCTCATTTAATTAACATTTTTGAAGAACTTGCTATAGATCCGGATCTGAAAATACATTGTGACAATCAAGCGGCAGTACTCATAGCAACAGACAACACCTCAAAAAAGAAGACTAGATACCTCCGAAGAGCATTCTATTTTGTCAATGATTTGATCAGAGAACATGACATTTCAGTAAATTGGACTTCAACACACAACCAACTGGCGGACGTGCTGACAAAGAGATTGGGTCCAACAAAAATGCTTGGTGCGCTACAACAACTGGGTGTAGGAGGGTAACTTGAGTAATCTTGAGGGGGGGTGTTAGAGTAGTGACGGAAGATGACGGAAGATACAAGATTACTACATACTTTAGACCACATACTATGTACTTACATAATCTTAACCTAGTTAGTGAGAGTCCCAAACCTAACCTAGATTATTGTTGTACATAGTATATAGCCTGATCTGTCCCGGTCCCGGCTCCTTTTCTCTTTTCCTCACCGAGATTGGAGACCGGGATTTGCCGTGCCGAAGCTTACCGTGACGGGACACTCTTGATCAGGTTAGTTATCTTTTCTCTATCTTTCATGCAATCAATTACCGAGATTGGAGACCGGGATTTGCCGTGCCGAAGCTTACCGTGACGGGACACTCTTGATCAGTGCCCATTTGCCTCGAGCATCTTATATGTACCAATCTCAATTTGATCCAAACTTAACACAAGCCCGCGTCCCTGCTGCGGCGTGGTGCACTGTAGCCGCTTGTCGAGTGTGCAAGCACCGGGGACTCTCTCGTAGGGAGAGGACTTGGGAATAATGAAGCGGTTCCACTTGAGGGAATGTGCAAGCTTTGGTGGCAGTCGATGCTGTGAGCACCTGCAGCCCTTAGTTTTCAATGAGTTTTTTTTTTCTCTTCATAGTTTAAATCTTGTATTTTTCTCTATGGAACTGTCAATTCAGAAATTTATTTATGTATCCCCCTCATGATAAAACAAATTCATGAAACTTTGAGTTTCATGATTTTCCGAGGCCGCTGACTACATAGCAAGGCCATGCCTTTTTTCGGAGTGCTCTTTTTTTCACAGACCGTCTCTTTTTTTCCAATGTTCATGCCCAGTAAACCTTTCACATGCGTTCCGTTTCATACGAGGGTATGGCATTATCTCTCAACGGTCGATTGCCAAATTAAAAATTTAATTGGCTGATAGAGAAAACACTAACGCACCGAGAAACTTACAAGAATAGAATGTTTTCAAAAATATATAGAAAAATTACAATAGATACCGTGAGGAAACTGAATCAACAGGATTCTGGACATCATACCAGCGCTCAGCTGGGATCAAACGATGAGAGCAATAAAAAATTGAATGATTTTAAAATTGAAAACAAAGAATCCCTCCGCTTATTCTCGACATAGCCTCATGCCGACTTGTGTCGGTCAGGCATAAGCCCCGCTTGCACCTCACGCCTACGGGTGCTCGCGGGCTTTGTTACGCTCGAATTTGATCCGATTTTCACCTAATACACGTAATACTCGACTAGTACTACTCTAGCCAGACAAAATGGAGCCTGTTGGATTAATAGGACAACATTTGGCGCGCTTGCATTGACGTGAGCCCATGGGCCGGCAGCTCATGTAAACAGCAGGCAGATCAATGATGTCGAACATCAACTGACGTTGGCTTTGCCTGCAAAACTTCTGGTCTTCAAAATTTTCCTTCACTGGTTGATTATAATGGGATATTTGTGGATCGACATGTGCTATGTTTCATACCCTAGTCCCACAGGACCAAAGAAACATCATTGAGGGTCAGAGTAAGATAGGTCCTGAGCAAATAATAATAATATTGATATTACACCACCAATCGAAGAATGAGGAGGGTGGAGAGATATGATAGTAAATGGATGAAAATGAAATGAGAAGAAAACCGCAGAAAAGGTACAAACAAGTCAAAGTGGAAGAGTTTGATGTATGAGATAGATAGGTCACCACACAGATGGCTAGAGCAATAGCCAGAGAGCTCGAGAAGTCCAAAGGGGAAGCGAAAGTGGGGGGGAGGGAGGGGAGGGCAGAGATGAAGCTACGGCACATCAACTAATAAGATACAAAGCTGATCACGAAGCTAGTCGACAAGAATCAATTTCTCCATAGTACAACAGCAATCACGAATCTCACATATACATTTTTTTTTTGGTTTTATTGAAGGGAAGTTTATCAGAGCTGCAATTTCTAAAGCTTCTAAAGCTTTCGGACACGAGCGATGCTTTCGGTGCAAGCATCGGTGGGAAGATCACTCCAAGACCACTGGCAGTCGGCCAACCAAGGATGAGTTCGGATCTTGAAACAGTTCCATCGGTCCTCGGGTTTGTAAGCTAGACATCGGAAGATCAGATCCATACAACTCTCTGAGACCGGGTTGTTTGGAGGTGAAGCCTTGTAGTGCTTGATGGCATCGGTGTCGTGGAAGAAAGATTCGCCAGTGACGAGAATCGAGAGGAGGATTCCTAAGGACCAAATCTCGGCGGCCATTGGCTGGTACGAACCTTTCTTAATCAGCTCGGGGGCGGCAAAATTCAAAGTACCTATCGAAAGGGAAGAATCAGCACAAAAGTGTAATGTGGGAATCGTAAGGTTCCAAGGAGAGGGGAGAGGAAGAGACGCCTACCAAAGAAACGGTTGAGAGATTGGGGCTCTTGACGATAATCGAAGAGATAAGTTGAACCGAAATCGATCAACTTCATTCGGTACTTATCATCGATCACGATGTTTTCGTCCTTAATGTCTCGGTGGACGAAACCGTTGTAGTGTAAACAGCCAACAACATCAATCAATTGTGCAAAGACATATTTGGCATATTTCTCTGGCAGACGACTGTGTTGCTCGATGCACTCGAACAAGTCACATGAGGAGCGACGCATCATGCCCGGCATGGGAGGCGGGATCGTAAGACTGCCTTTCCTTGATTCCGGGGCCATCTCGAGCTTGAGCCCACCTGTGAGGAGGGGCTTCTTGGGGGTAGATTGCAGTAAGCTGTTGACAATCGGTAACTTTTTCAAGAAACTAGGGGCTTTGTTTTCCTTCTCGGAAGCTGTCCATGGAGAACCATGGTGTTCCATAACCTGTGACGTTTTTTTTTTGTAAAAAAAGCAGTTTTCTGAGTGGCTGTTGTCGCTTAATAAGTTTCGAGATGTTTGACTGACCAGATACACATAAGTGTTGTCCTCGAAAAGATCGACAAAAGACACAACTCCGCGGTGTCGAATGGTTTTGAGTACATACTGAATGGAAGTTTGAGGATAAGTCTTGAGAGTAAGCGTGAGGATGTCAAAATCAAAGAGCTTACAGCTTCTAGCGGGACCCTCTTGATCCCATCCTTCGTCCTCATGATTCCATTAGTATCGGAATCATCTTCCCAATGCTCATCTTTGACCCAAGCTTGTTGTGGGATTTTCTCCTTGTAAATAAACTTAACTGCGCACTGCATCAAATCCTCATTTCTGGTCGCTTGAACCACGAATCCAAAGCCGCCACTGCCTAGTTCGTCGCCCAGGGTGTAATTGGCTAGAAAGACTGGATGTAACTTGTGGGTTGATAGCGCTTTCGCTGATACCGTGGTGGGTACGAGGGGGGCGGCCTTCTGGTAAGGTGAAGTACTGGGCGTGGGAGGTAACTGAGGATTGATGGATTTCGAAAGAAGGGATTTAGCTTGAAGAAAAACCCCTTCACGGGAGTTTGGGGTAGCCGGTGGCGTCAAATTAGCATCTGTGTTTGGCATAAAGATTGATCCATGGTTCGAATTGCGATGTTTGGATGCACTCATGTTAGCACGAGGAACTACTGGGACATAATTGCTAGGACGGCCAGGTAGGAAGCGCGACTTGACAGGGGCACGGTGTGAGTCTTGTTGCCCTTTCGAAAGTGGACTCAGAGGTCTGGAGCCACTACGAGGCGAGGCCCCGTTATTATCGTTGATGATCTGTTCAGTTCCGAGGGGTGAAGATGGTAAGGGGGCTGAGGGTCCATCGTAGTCGATCAAGCTGAGATTCGATCGGGAGTAGCCTTTGAGGGGTGGTGGGCGCTTCTTGTTGAAGGAAAACGAAGTCAGCTGAGAGGATGCGTCCGCACCATCGCTAGACTCAGTAAAGGCGGTGGCTTGGGAGTTTGAGGAAGTGGACAACGAAGATGAAGTTGTCTTGGGAGTCTGGGCGCGGAAAGGCGGGATAGGAGAGAGTTGGTAGGCGGACTTCATGTTGAACTAAGTTGATGGAGGGGACACAAGGGAGTAGAGAAAGCAAGAAATTGGATGATCAAGATCTTTGGGAGATTCTGAGGCGCAACAGGAGGCAGGTGATTCCGGAGATGGAATGGATGTTAATATGCCGCGAAGGATGAGGGGCTGAACTAAAGAAAAAAAACAAAAAAAACGGAAGCCAAGAAAAAACGGACCTTGTGAGATCACGGAGGATGGATAGGATGGGGTTGCTTGGGGGTATACTCAGATAGGTGAACTTAAGGAAGATGAAGAACACTGATGTCGAACGGAAATAAGAAGGCGAAGAATAAAACTGGACTGATAGACTTCTTCCTTAGCAAGAAATAAGGGAACTGGGAGTCAATGTTCACCGGCGGTTGAAGGACTGGAGGATGGTTGATTGGAAAGCTGGAGGAATCCGATAATGAAGGATGAGTGGATGTTTAGCAGGCTTTTATAATAATGAGCATGGTACTCTGCACCAAGGAACAGGTATTAATGCCTCGTGCTGTTTGGCACTCCAATGGAAGTCCATTTCCCAATCTATTGAACATGCTGGCTATGCGCAGACTGGCCAGTTAGCGTGCTCGTTCCTGGACTGTTAAAAGAGCCACCCAGATAGCCGGGTGGCTCTGCCTTCGTCTCCGACGACTTTTAGTGGCCCGGTTCTCACTCCGCAGACCACCGGGCCAGTCAAGAAATATCTCAACCAGCAGCACAGGATGCCTTTGTCCGACCACACCTCTTGGTCCGATGTTCTACTTAGCGTTTTAATGATGAGTGGAATGGACCGACTGGTCCTCCCTCCCGCTCTCGAACCTTCCTACAACTCGCCGTCCTCCAGGTCGGTCAGCCATGATGGTGTGGGCAATGAATTGTGCAAAACCATCAATCAAGTTCTTACGGATCAGAACGGTCCTATGGCGTGAGTAGAGCATTTATCAGTCAGTGACTTTTTCGCGACCTGATCAGTTGAGAAAGCCTTTTGATTTTCAAAAAGACCTGATCGGAGGCCACACGCAATCAGATCAGAGTACACGGCACGAGCTCATATGGGCAAGTGTCGTGTTCACGGCTTGCATTTCGAGTTTCTTGGACTGTCGAACCCTGGTATGAGCTGGGATCTTCAAATTGTGGAGCCCTCGAATGAAGCTCATGCCGCAGATGGGTCTGGTTATAGATACCGAAGATGCTGAGCTAGAAGCCTCAATGTGTGTGGATTGTCCTCACTGGTATCCACTCATCAGGGGTAATAGGGTAGATGCTTGTCTTGATCAACTAGGATCGGCTTGGCCGGCGGATTTGGATTTCTTGGGCACAGAATTTCCATTACTCCCAAAACGTGTATCAAGAGGAAAAATAATATACTCCACGCAACCGGATTGGTGATAGATACGTATTTATGTACGGCCGTCGAAAATTCGGTTCCATTCCGAGGGACACAGTTGTAATGCAGCTGCTGATCAGTCTTCCGGGGATGAACAGAAGATGTTTTTGTTTTTGAGTCGTCTCGTCCCCAATCTCATCGGTGGAACTGAACCCACTTGCCAAACCATCGGTGCTTTCATCATGCCCACGTTGATAATTCTACTCGTAGTTAGGCCTTTCGTTCAATTGCCATATCTGCATGATGATACATAGGATTCGGGAAGCTTACAATATTCGACGTTGCCTTTTTGAATAGCTTGTGGGCAAGTGTCTTGCGATGCGTTTCCCTGCACAATCAACCCAGTTTTCTACTCAAGAACTTCAACATGTCATCGAGCTGAGTGAATGCGGACCGGATCCACTGAATTCAGTCGAGCATGAATCATCTATCGAACCAGACACGATCGTATCGGATCCAGACAAAACTACCGAACCACTGTTGAATCTATCTTGCCGAACTGAAAACCAGGTGAGAGGAAAATTCGAACTTTCAAAACCCCAAGGATGTTTTTGATTGAATTTTAGGCAATATGGCATGTGGCTTTAGGCGACGGACTCACAGTTAACAAGCATCGTGATCGAGTGTCCGCTGGTGAACAAGGACAACAAAGACAAATCGATAGAGAAACTATCACCTCTGACTCGGGGATTAAATGGCCCAGCTGTTTCAAATCAATCCAAGAAAACAGGAAAAGAACTCATTCTTCCGAATCCTACCTCAAGTTCAATAAAATTTGAAGAATGTCCGATTTGCTTGGATGAGCTTCGTATGGACACCTTCACACCTTGTAAGGGTTGCAATAAACAATACCACATATGGTGCATCGAAGATTGGAAGGAAATTCAAACCTCGTGCCCGACCTGTAGAGCCTCACTTCTTTCCCGATTTGAAGAGGTCGCCTATTTCATACATCATAAAGTGTTCTGTCAATGTCCATTGATAAGTCTGACCGCGTGGACTATTTTGATTTGGTCTCTCTATTCAATTATGAAAATGTATTTTCGCGACTGATTCTTATATGACTTGAATCAGTAAATGTGCCGTGGTTATCAAGGCATGTGTCAGTAGTACAAGGTGCTCATGAGGGACATGCTGATCAAGCCTATGCCTATTGATAATTTCAAGAAATTTCGTACAAAAAGAAGAGGCCTCGATGTCTACTTTTTTCATGCTAGAATTGTAACAGAGCACAATGACAACCACATATGGGCCATCAAATTTGGACAAGTTTCTCGGATCATCTCATACGTAGAAGAAAGATGTACACCGTTGGACTCTGAGAGACAATTCAGTTTTTGAACTCTCGCTCTTTCTCCTTTTTTTGTCCTCCATAAATAAATTTATCAGATCCATTCTTTTACTACAGTGATAGAGGCTCGGTTTGAAATTTCTGACAGAAAAAGAAAGTTCGGACAAAAAACGAATAGCGATAGAAATACAATGCCTGGAATCAAAAGGGGACCACTTGAGAAAAGAGTCTCTTCGAAAATATCGTTGTAGTCGATTCCTCCAGGCGAATCGGCCACTAAGCACACTGTTTTGGTGTGACCCTCATCGGTCCAGTGGCGGTGCATTGCGCGATAAATTGCTTGTGTGGAATAGTCGTTACATTCTTCGGATGTTTGAAGTGATTAATTTCAGTAACCTCTAGTTACAGAAACGAGTCAATCGAGTGGTGTGGACTTACGCTCTTGGGGAAAATGATTGGGGTGTTACAGCAGTAGGAGTTATCAGTTTGCGTGCCAACGCAATTAAAATATCCTATGATACCTCCCGGAAGATTTTTGGTTGGATTGGCCGGTTTCACTGTTAAATTTACGGATCCAATCATGCCGGTGAGTACAGTGTGGCCAATGGGCCACAATGGCAAGGCCATGGAGTGGAAGAGTGTAAATATGAAGACGGCCGCAGACGCACCTGTATAACTATGTGGCTCTGCCTCAAAGCGATTCCGGTTCCCGGTTCCACAAATTGCTTGCAAGGGCGATTCCGGCTCAGGTCTGTAGCAAAAAAGAGTACATTTGTTGTCTTTGTCTTGTTGTTCGTTCGCAATGCAGAATCCGAAAACCAAAAGATTCAGAGCTATAATATGTATCAAAAACTGCATGCTGGAGTGTGGAAACTTGGTTAACCGTCGAGCTCGGGAATGGTGAGGGAACCGAAGTGGATGAGAATTCGGTCTGGAGTGGGTGGTGTAGAGTTTTGCCTTGAGGGTAGCAAGTACGACATGAAGTCCACCTGAAGAATTGAAAGCGATTGTGCAATATAGCGGTTGACCGCCGGCCGGCATTAATTTACATACCCTCATGATTACCCGGTGTTTGGTCTTGCTGTAGCTTGCAGGTGCAATAATTAGTATGTAGGTGCAATTGCCAAGAAAAGTGAGTGGGGCTGAAACCATGTCAACCACTTGACGGACTTAAGGCAAGTCCCAATTCCTTGCCGTAAGCGGTGTTGGGACGCGAGTGGCTTCGCCCCTGCCGCATTGCGCCTACTGCAGGGACAGAGACTCTGCCCTTCGGCCTCGGAGTCGGAGTCGTCCCTCGAAAGGCTGGTGACTGTTGGTCTCGTGTCAACCGCTATCCTGGGTATCTGGACCCTATTACTGCATGGGGTATGGACAAAAGCAATCACCGGTACAGAATCTTCCTGCCCGCGAGGAGAATGTGTTTTCCCGATTGGTAAACGTTTGAGGAAAAGGTGGCCGGTGGTGGTGAATTCGCATCTGAGGGTCTACCGGGACATCAGTCCTAATTTCTTTTGATTCTGGAAGAGTAATTTGCTACACAATCTCCGAAGCCAGTGTACCGGTGGAATTGCAGAGCCTTTCATTGCAGGGGATTCTCCATCAATCCTAATGATAGCCATATGGGTTTTGTTTGTCTCTGAAACTTCCTATCAATATGCTCCCAGCACATGTCCATTCTCGACGACCGAGAATCGTTATAGATAGTTTTTCACATCACGTTTAAAAGAGAAATGGACAGTCAAGAAGAAAAGAGGGTTATTTTTTTCTAACTCTTGTTGTTTCTACCATTCTTCATCCTCCATAATTAAGCTCCGAGCCGTCAGGTTCAGTGATGTAGGCTTGGTTTCAAAAGGCTTCAAGTTGTGTCCGTTACATCATCATTGATGAAAATCAGGAGATGATAGAAATACAATGTACAAAGTCAAAAGGGGGGGGGGGACAATGTAGAAAGGCCATGTTCGAATATCGTTTGGAATATGCACAATGTCTTGGCTTCACTGGCATCGGGGTAGGGACGTGGCAAAATGTCACGATCTTACTGTCTCTAATAGTTGTTCCGTTTGACTGAAGGCAGGTTTGAAGCAGTTGAGGTCAATATAAACTGCTTTGTGAACAAGTGAGGAAATACATTTGCATGAATCAATCCAACTTACCCCCTTGGGAAACTCGAGTCTTTGATCACAGCAGTGTCCGCCATCCGCTCCCAAGGCAACACAATTAAAATATCCTTTTACACCTGGTGGAAGATTTTGCGTTGGATTACTTTTAATTTGACGGATCGAATGGTGAGGGTGAGATCAGTGTGGAACGATGGCGAGGCCACGGATTGCAAGATTGCAGATATCAAGACCAGTAAACATACTCAAAAACTCATCTGGGAGTTCCCCTGAGCTAGGTTCCCCAGGCTTCCCTTTCGCACAAACTGCTTGAAGAAAGCTTTTCGGATCGCAATAAAGGGTACATTTGTTCTCGATGTCATATTTTTGGTCCGCAATGGAAAGTTCTCATGCCATTAAGGTCAGAACTGTGATATGTTTTAAAAACTGCATAGTGAAGTGTGGAGACGTTGTTAAAGAAACGTCGAGCTCGTGGATGGAAAGGAAACCGAAGTTGATGAGGATTCGGCTTGAAAGGGGTTGTGTGGCTTATCATCTGGACGTTAACCGATACAGTTAGAAGTAAGACCCAATAAGTGGAACTAGTGGTTGGTGGTTGGGATGCCTATTGGAACAGACACGATCAACCCACCCAAAGAATCCAGAGAATTGACCAACCATTCGAATGACCCACATGCCTCAAACAAAACTTACAAATTCAATATTCCTGATCGCGTTTGGAAAGCGCCCGTCGCTACCGAAGACAAGCCCTTGAAGTACACCATCGGTAGAACCACACCCTACAACACCCTCCCGGTCTACTCAGTCATGAAACCTGGCTTAGGACAAATCTGGACTCTAATCAAAAGAATCGATGGTGACTTATATGTGCGTCTCACTTTCCTTACACTCATTGAGCCGATCAAATACTGATTCAATAATTTTTTTCATCCTTGACCAATCTTCTTCAATTAACCAAAATCACAGAAACTGAAAGAAGATTTGATCTTAGATTTCCCTGAATCCCAACCAATTCTAAAGCTGCACGTAAAGCAGGTCTTATGTAGAGGTCACATCACCAAAGAAGTTAAACTCTGGTTACAAGATAGAGGCTTTTGAGTCACTCAGCTTTTTTTCCTGTTTCTTTTTTTGCCCACAAATCCAACAATTTCTCACATTCTCTGTGTTATGTACGACTTATCGACCCGGCTCCTCTAATCTTTGCTTCAAGAAAAGAAAGACGTATCCACTCTAGAAATTACCAGATTCTTAATTTTCAGGGGCAAGCTCGTCGATCAAGAAATGATTACCCAGACCCCGATATCAATCTGGAGAAACAATGCCACAGCAAGCCTCAGTTTGTGAACCAGAGACTTGTGACTCGAACGCAGAATCTCGTCCAGCACATGCTTCAGCGCGGAAAATATCCCTGCAAATAGGCTAGGATTGTCATGTTTCGATTCTGATGTCACCAAGGCTCATGGAAGTGAGCAGTTAACATAAGACGGCTCGAATTACATTGCAATATATGCTGCTCATACATCCACACACATAATAGAAAAGTCAAGCGCATATAATAATGATAATAAACCGAGACATGTTTATTTAGTTGTGCTATATGTTTTGAAAGTGAAAACAGACGATTTGAAAATTTGCCGAATCATTGAGATAAGCCCTTTGTCCTGGCGGCCTAGTGCAGAGTGGGAGCTAGCCAACTCAGACAAGAAAAAAAAAGATTAAGATTTTGATAGATAAAAAAACAATATGGAAATTAGAAATGGGACAGAAGAAGAGGATCCTCATACACCTGATTGTGTAGAAGCAAAAGACAAGCTCATAAACAAAACCAAAAACAGAATAAAAACTAAAACCTAAAACCAAAAATCGAAATCAGATATTATAAGTTGGAAAGAAGGAAAAAAGGCCCCCATATACCTATGCTTGCAGGAAACAATTAGTCTCACGGAAACGTAGCAAAAGAAACACGCCCATACATTACATATACAAACCAAAACAGTAAAGAAAAGAAGAGGACTTCAAGGACGAGAAAGAGGTTGACAAGCAAGAAACTATAGAGAGCTGGATGGACTGCTTGAATGAAGTTATGATGCCCATCGAACAACCTTGCGCAAGCATTGCTGTTTAGCTCTATAAAAGCTCGGTGGGGGCAGGCCATGAGAGGGATTGGTAGGGAGGTTATCGAGGTGAGGATGAGGATCGACGATCTTGCGCTTCACATTTCGATGATGACCTAAACCATTGTCCTCGTCGGGAACAGAGCGTCTCTCTGGCGGTCTGAGAAGCGGCGACTTGATCTGATTGACTGGCGTTCCTGAGGGTTGTTGTTGAGGAGGACCCTTTTGTATGGCGTGCTGAGACAGATTGTCGGGGTTGGGATGCGAAGAGACGCGCACTGTGGATGGGCCTGGAGAGCCCATCCGGCTTTGCAAATCTTGCGAGTCGGTAGACGAATCTGACACATTCTCTCGAGTAGGAGCAGGCTCGGAACGAGTGGTGGGGGAAGTAAGTGGAGCGGGGTGACTGCCCTGTGATGGGTCTTTGAAATTTAATTTGAGTCTAGTCTTCGTTCTTGGTGATACATCAGTCTGCTCCAATCCCGAGCCCTTAAGAGATTCGATCTCTTCCAAGAGTTCTTCCGCCCGCTCTGTCAGTAGGGAAGGTGTCATTTTTTGTCCTTAGTGCCATTCTTGATTGCAAAAAAAAACAAGGCTTAAAAAAATGGAAGACAAATGTGCTTACTAGCGCGATGTGGGTTTTTAAAGCAGTAGGGGGAAGCCATCAAAGGCTTGATCCGCCTGACAAATTGCGAGAGCTTCAACGACTTGCGCGCTTCTGTCTCGTGATCAGGAGTGGGATTGAGGAAGGTCGTGCTCAAAAGCTCTACAAATCCACCAACGATGAAATGTGAATATATTTTTCTCAAATGAGATATGAAGGGGGATAGAATAGGAGCAGCCATGCACTCACGTCTATTTTCCGGTTTCTTGAAAACATACTTGACCTGGCAAGCTGGTGAAGTAGAAGAGCTTCCATTTTTCGAATTATTACTCCCGGCGAGACTGAGGTCTGCCAGCTTGAAAGTAAGCGGCCTACGACCGTCGTCATCGTCCTCGTCATCGGAGGATGAGGAGCTAGATCCCGCCCAGTCTGAGTTGGCCTCATCCGGGCCGGCGGGACGATTCAATTTGGGCCTCGGCTTCAGTTGCTTTCGGGTTTTATTTTTTCGGCGTTGATCCTCGGACTCGGAATCGCTCCGTTCGTCTATCTCCTTTAGTAGCCGCTGCTGGGCTTTGATACAGAGTTCTTGTCCAAGGTGCTCGTGTTCCCAATAGCACCTGATCAGTTCCAAGGCGTCAATGTTGTCCTCGGGCTGCCATTCCATGTCGAGATAGCCCTTGAACTTCAACTTATAAAATCGTCCTATGCCCGCTCCCTCTTCCCCTTTCGGAACCAGTTTACTATCATCGATCCATTCCAGCTCCCAGCCAGGCTGGACTTCCGACTCTGCCGACCCGGACCGTCCTCTGAGACCGCCAAAAGCTTCGGTATCTGAGAAAGATCTCTCAGTATCGTCGTCACTACACGCCGAGCTTGAACTGGGGGAAGCGCCATCTGCGGCCATGGTTTTAAGATATACTTGTCGGTTTTTGAAGAATCTTTCGTGGTTGTGGTGGGCTGGAGACGGGTATGTGAACATGCAAGCAAATGGGGATGGTGATGGCACTGTTTGGCGGCGTTGCTGATGAGCCTCGCTTTAAGTTGTACACATATATGTAGTAGAGTGAGAGTCTTGCAAGATGTCCTCATCTTTCCTTTCTACATAGTCCTGCTTGTGTTTATCCCTTCATCACTATGTTTGAATGGGGGGACATTCGTCTCAAGCTGAACACACATGCAAAAGTCTCCGGATAAGGCGCAACGTGCTCACTTAACAACAATCTTCTTGACCTTGTTGTTAGCGTTGTCACCGGTAAGTCTTGAGCTTCTTTTGACCTGAAGCACTGAGCACATAGCCACTTTGCGCTGACCTTTCTTCACCTCTATGCCTTCTTTTGGTCACTCTACAAAATTGCGACTTTCACTTTTTTTTCTTTCTGAAAATCGGATTCGAACCACCCTTTCATGAGAACTCATTCTAGAGAACATCATCGATGCGATGTAGAATTGGGGAAGTGATTATCAAGTTTATTGATGCGTGCGAGATGCAATCAGGAAAGATAAAGGCGGCCGAAACGCTGTCAACCGCTGTCCTGGAGGGGATTTAGCCGACAAGCATTATTGGATGATACTGCATGGGGGAACCAAGCATGATGCCGGCGACACAGGCTCTTACATCCATAGTTCTTCTGGCGACGAGAATGCGGTCTGTTGACTCCTCCCAGCCCACATTGTCTTCCATCTCAATTTCGCCCTGGGAATTTCACAAAGAAATCCAGCCCATCACTACGGCCTCATCCTGGACAATCGAGTTTGCACAGTCGGGAAAACTTCAACGGTCAGCAGTGCAATAGGTAGGTAAGTAGGTAACCTGTATCAGACAGACCTCCAAGGAAATTTGATTCCTCTAGCATATTAAATACTGCCTTTGGATTGACGGATTCCTGAGTAGAGGATACCTCAGTGTATTCTGTAGACCCACTTGGAACATGCACATCAGGAAGATGGGTACAGATGGCTTGCACGAGATTTCGCTTGCACGATCCAATTTCAATGATTCATCCTTGGAGTTTTCATTAGAGGTGGAAATGTCACTATTTCAAAATACGTTTGGAATGTCATATGATATATGATTAAATAACAATAATAAGTAAGGTAACAGCTTGGCTCTCAGAAACGCGATTGGAAACAAAAGGGGTTTCGCAAGTAAATAAGAATCGGACGGCTCATCTTCTATGATGCTAATAATAAAGAATGACTGTTGGGATGAAAATAATACGAAGCTTGGGAGAGGGGCGACGATTTGCTTGTGCTGAGTTGTGCACCGAACGTTTCTGTGGAATCAGTTTGTTCGTTCTGATGATTATGTAGTCCTTTCTATCTTGATGGCTGGTAATTAACATGTTTTACAACCTTCGAGCTTGACTGGTGATGGTATTTGACCATCATTATTTGAGGTGATCTTGGGTTTTTCTGGTTTGGGGCCGCTTGGATTGGAGATCGGTTGAACATGTTCAAGGTATTCCCGTCTGACTTTCTGTTCTTCGAATTCTGCTTCTCGGGCTAATTGGGCGAGTCTGACTTTGATTCGCTCCTCATCCCTGATGACCCCTTGATACATCGCCTTGGGGAATTCGCACGGGTAGAATGGAAAAATATGTCATCCAGTTAGCTTTTGGAAATTGTTGTGATAGAAAGAAAACATAGAATTGAGAAAAAAAAAAGAAGTTGTTCTAGTGCTTACATCTCTTTCCGATGTTTGCAAGAAATGGACCCCCCAGACAGTAAGCCCGGTGATTGATGAAGTCAAGAGGAGCGTTAGCTTGGCCGTTCTGGACATCCAACAGTGATTTTTTCGCCAGATCTAGTGATATTTGAAACCTTCCTGATGGGAACCTTCTCAGAGCCAAGTGATGAAGATCGGTGATGAAGTGATTTTGACGACTTTTGAGATTCCGTTTCCCTCGCTAGTTGTTTTGAGTCGGCTGGAAGCAGCTGTACTAAACGCCGGCCGGAACTGTCGATTGTGGAGATTGGTTTTGGATTGCTGATATTATCTTCTTGTTTATGCTCGAGTAGTCATCGAATACGAATGGAGCCAGAGCATCAAAGCGGGTGTGAATAAATATTTATGTTTATGTTGGAGGGGGAGATCTCCTTCTTGGCCTTGCCGAGGCTGTGCCAGACTCCAGCCAGTGGTGATCCCGGCCATCTGTCACAGCGTTTCCCCCGTGACAGGTCTCGGTCTCCAGCCATGATCTGCCAGTAGTCGCACGTGAAAGGTCGAAGCTTAAATCGACATCCCACTCGGCCCACTGGACATCCCCGGCCTTGATAAACACCGCCTCCCATCCTCCTTTGAACCTTTCCCTCCCCCATCCACAGTTCAATCGCCGCTTCTTTCCTGGCGAAACCTCCTAACACCTGCCTGCGACCGAATCGAATCTTGTGTCCGGCTTCTTGAGACTTGGCCCTGCTATTGTGAATCTGAAAAGATGGTCAGTCAGCGTCCCATTTCATTTGCTCATTTTTCAGCAGTTTGTCCATGTTGTACTGAAGCAAGTGCATCTCTCCTAGGCCCCATCAAAAAAAGCCGGAAAAAAATCCGCAAAGAATGACCCCAACCGTGGTAGATCCCAGAATGGAGGCGTCACCAAAGCGGATTGGGCGGATTCTTTCAAGAAGGTCAGTCCTCTCTCTCAGCTCGACTGGTCAAGAAATTGCTTCAGATTGTTTTGACCAATTCTTTGTTTGCGCTGTGGCAACATTGCGGCCTCGTCATTTTATTTATCATCATTTTCAGAAAGGCGCCGGAGTCTCAGATATGACCCTACTCAGCACCATCTCTAATGATTCAATCAATGATAATTTGAAAAAACGTTTCGAGAACTCGGAGATATACGTGTGTATCTTATGCTCGCCATTTTCTGAATCAACCTTTTCTTCATCATCAAACTGATCCGTATTCAAACTATACAATTTCGATTTTTCTCATCAGACTTACATTGGTCACGTATTAATCTCCGTGAACCCGTTCCGGATGCTACCAATCTATGGTCCAGATGTCCTGAATTCTTACAAAGGCAAAAATCGACTGGAGATGCCCCCACACGTCTACGCCGTAGCCGAAAGCATGTACTACAACATGATGGCTTATTCAACCAATCAATGTGTAATCATATCCGGGGAATCAGGTACATATTCTTCACCTCTTTTTTAGGACAATATCCTGACATCTCGTTCCATCTATCAACAGGTGCTGGAAAGACTGAGGCCGCCAAAAAAATTATGGAATACATTGCCGCGGTAGCCGGAGAGGAACACAGTCAAGCTGGAAAAGGGATCACAGGCGTCAAGGATATGGTTCTCGCTACCAACCCACTCCTAGAAAGTTTCGGCTGTGCCAAAACCCTGCGAAACAACAACAGTAGTCGGCATGGAAAATATCTGGAGATCGAATTTGGTCCCAACGGAGAACCCGTCGGAGCTATGATTACCAACTATCTCCTTGAAAAGGTTACTATTCAAAATTGGTCATTCTTCAATTGTACCCGACTAATTCTCTTCTTCGCGTTTGAATCCAGGGCCGAATTGTCGGGCAGATAGACGATGAACGGAATTTTCACATATTTTATCAATTCACCAAGGGAGCTTCGCCACAACAACGAGAAGAATACGGTATCCAGGATCCATCGGCTTATTACTACACGTCTCGCGCTGGCTGTTTAGATGTACCACAGATGGATGATGTTGAAGAATGGCACCAAACGTTACAAGCAATACAAACGATCGGATTGAGCGCAGACGAGCAGTCAAATATTTTACGGATGCTAGCTACGGTTCTATGGCTGGGGAACGTCCAGTACGCTGAAAATAGTGAAGGCAATGCATACGTGATGGACGAAAGCGTGGTTGAATTTGTTGCTTATCTATTGGAAGTGGATGTTAATATGGTCAAGAAGGCTCTAACTAGTCGTACTATGGAAACTCAACGCGGAATGAAGCGCGGAAGTGTTTACGAGGTCCCGCTGAATAAAGTACAAGCAGCCGCTGCCCGAGACGCCCTGGCCAAGGCAGTTTATAACAATCTCTTTGAATGGATCGTCGCTCGCGTAAATATTTCCATGAAATCTCGAACATCTGCATCATACGTCATCGGGGTTCTTGATATCTATGGATTTGAGATTTTTGATCGTATGTTTACATTGCTCTCAGTTCTTGGTTGACACGAATGCTGATTTCTCTATACCGCTTCCAACAATATTGTTTTTTTTTTTTTCGTCCTCCACAATGACGTCACTATCAAACTTCTCAGATAACTCCTTTGAACAATTATGCATCAATTACGTCAATGAACGCCTCCAGCAAATTTTCATTGAATTGACTTTGAAGAAAGAACAGGAGGAATACGCAGCCGAGCAAATCACATGGACGCCCATCAAGTTTTTCAATAACAAGATCGTCTGTGATTTGATTGATGAAAAGCGACCTCCTGGGATTTTCGCAGCTATGAATGACGCTACAGCTACAGCCCATGCCGACTCATCCGCAGCGGATAACTCATTTTCTCAGCGTACATCTATGTTGGCTAGTAACCCGCATTTCGAGGCACGTGGAAACAAATTTTTAATCAAACATTACGCTGGTGATGTCTTATATGACATCCAAGGTATGACTGACAAGAACAAAGACGCTCTCGGCAAAGATCTGTTGGAGCTAGTCCAATCGTCTAGCAACTCGTTCATAACTGGTCAACTGTTCACGGAGCGAATAGACGCCAACTCCAAAAAACGTCCACCCAGTCAGGGAGACAAGATCAAGATGTCTGCCAACGCGCTTGTCGAAAAGCTAATGCGCTCCCAACCGTCCTACATCCGAACCATCAAGCCCAACCAGTCGAAATCACCCACTGAGTATGACTCACCGGCCATCTTACATCAAATCAAATACTTAGGTTTACAAGAGAACATCCGCATCAGACGAGCTGGTTTTGCTTATCGAAACACTTTTGAACAGGTCGTCCAACGTTTCTATCTTTTGTCTCCAGCCACCTCTTATGCCGGCGATTACATCTGGAATGGTGATTCTCGTTCGGGATGTGAAAAAATCCTCAAAGACGTTGGCATTGCTCGCGAAGAATGGCAAATGGGTACCACAAAAGCTTTTATTAAGAACCCCGAAACCGTGAGCCAAATCTTCCCATAAGATCCCCACTGTTCAGCATGCTTACAAGTAGACGTGTTCTCTCGACAGCTTTTTGCTCTTGAGCACATGCGTGATCGATATTGGCACAACATGGCTGCGAGAATTCAAAGAGCTTGGAGAAACTTTCTTAGATATCGACATGAATGTGCCACCCGAATCCAACGAGCTTGGAGGAATAACAAAGAAGGAATTGTCTATCTTCAATTACGCGATGCAGGTCATCAGGCACTTGGTGGTAGGAAAGAACGTCGGAGATTTAGCTTGTTAGGTTCACGCAAATTTCTAGGAGATTACTTGAATGTTGGTGGTTTCGATGGTAAAACCAAAAAAAGTGCATTGGGCGAGATGCTTTATAGCAAATTGGGTTTGAGTGCTAGTGAACGAGTAATTTTTAGCTCGAAGGCCCACATCCTAGTTTCCAAATTAGGACGTTCCAGCAAACTGTCACCTAGGTTCCTGATCTTAACAGACCGCGCAGTTTACATCTTGATAACTCAACTGGTAGCCGGCACTGACGGCCAGAAACGTTCAGAGACCGTGGTGGAACGCAAAATTAATGTCTCAGTGATCAATTCTGTTGGCGTATCTCATCTGAGGGATGATTGGATCGTAAGTGACTGCTTACCGGATCCCCTTTTGTTGGAAGAATTAGCTAACAGTGACACATTATGGGAGTAGGTACTAAATGTCAGCAATTCAGAAGAACAAGATCCACTTTTATCATGCGTGTTCAAGACGGAACTCATCACTCGCTTGAAGCAACTACAAAGCTCGTTGACTGTAAATATAGGCCCGACGTAAGTGTCTTTTGCAGATGAAGATGAGGCTCTTGGGCATGTGATGAATCTTTGGATTTTTGTTTTCACAGTATTTCATATCGCAAGAAGAAAGACAAGATGGCCGTGATCAAATTCCAAAAAGACGAGACCATTCAACGAGGTGACGTTTATAAGAGTCACACCGTCTCCGTACCATCCGGGCTACCAAGCACAAGCGTATCTTCACCGTTTCCCAAGAAGAAGCCCGGTTTGATAAGGCCAATCACCACTGGCAAGTTGCTGCGAAAGGGTGGCCCTTCGGATAATGTGAGCCGGTTTTCATAGTTTTGCCTTATCATTATCGAGATTGACGTTTTCTCTTTACAGAAACCACGACCACAGGCTCGTCCTGCACCTCAGGCACGTCCTCTCCCTGGCGCAGGTGCTGGAGCCCCTGTTGCACCGGGATTCAAATCTGCAGGTGGACCACCGCCGCCGCCACCGCCACCACCCATATCGTCAAACTCGTCCGCTCGTGCACCGCTTGCTTCAGCAGGGTTCAAAGCAGCGGGTGGACCTCCCGCCCCACCCCCACCCCCACCCCCGCCACCTGCATCCTCCAACTCTTCAGCTCGTGCACCACCTGTGAAGTCCTCGGGTATCCCAGCTCCTGTTAAAGCTCCACCGCCGCCGCCGCCCCCAGTAAAACCCCCCAGTCAACCAGAAGTGGCTCTGTACCTAGCGTCAGTGTTACTTCCATACGACAATTACGAAATCACTCAGCTTATATGTTTGCTCTCTGTTTTAAATGCTACAGCATCTGTGAATTTGAAACCGAAGAATCTGGTGAGATAGCTTTGTCAAAGGGAGACTTGGTCGAAGTGATACAGGAAGGTGAGTTTGAAAATACATGATGGATAAACGAACTTCAAATTGACATTTGTGAACCTTGATTGGTAGCGGACAACGGCTGGTGGCTAATCAAAAAAGGTACTGAGCAAGGTTGGGCGCCATCGAACTATTTGGAACTTGAGCTTCGACCCCCAGTCGCGCCCAGTCGACCGAATGCGCGACCGCCCCCTGCTCCGAGTAGCCAACCCTCGGCAGTGAAATCCACACCAGCAGTTGGTCTAGGCTTCAAAGCGGCAGATTCTTCATCCGCGCCGGTTGCAGTGATGCCGGGGATGGGACACGTGAACGGACTGGCGGGTATCTTAGCCGCCAAAAGAGCTGCTGCAGCGGGCCAAGCAGGTGAACCTCAGAGCCCATCCAGTAGTCCCAATCCTTCGCCCAAGACTAGCTCCAAAGGGCCGCCGCCCCCACCGCCAAAACCAAAACCACCGACTCTAGCTCCTAAACCTACCGGGGTCGGGGGTCCCCCACCGCCGGTATTGTCTAGTAAACCTAACGCTCGGCCTGGTGGAAACCCTGGTGTTGGGCAAATGGATCTGGCTGCTGCACTTGCCAAGCGAGCTGGTCGAACAGGATGAGCAACACACAATAATTTCTCACAGCTTCTTTTGTATAGACTTGTCATCAACTATCAATCTAATGGATGTACTTGTGTTGTGCTGTTTTTGTTTTGTTTTGTCTTCTTTTGCCAATCACCATCATGGCACTTGTTTAAATTATAACTGATGCATCCACATACATTCATATCAAAATTCATTCTGCGTTGTGGATGGGCCCTTGTAGCTGAAATGTTCAAAATTGAAGACTAGCTGATACCAAAGCAGCTATTCCTGCTCCACATCCTGCCAATACCTCTGAGTAGTGTTTGGGATGCTGAGTGTATTGTAGCTTTTGTTGGCCACAATTTCAGATTTGAACAAAATGTTTCAGCGGTGCAAGAACTCAAGACACTGCTGTTAACCTCCCTTATTGTCATTTTTTCCAATGAATATCATTATCTATCAAGAATGTCTGATAAAGTAGGCCAGAAGAAAATCAATGTATGGCAAGAGCCACTCCCTTCAGCAAAAGGTAGGTGGCCAAACCAAACTTCAAAAAAAATAGTGCATTTGTCCACAGACCTGTTTTGGTAGACTGCAAACCCCCAAAAAGGGCACAGCACTTCTCAGCTCGCAAGCTCCTGCAATGGATGTGTAGGGGTACACACCCCTTAGGAGAGTGTGTTCTTCTTTCCGATTGAACAATGAGATCCTGTTTTCCTTTTTTAAAATTATTGTGCAAAATTTTCCCAGGTGTTCATGTTGAACTTTTTTTTCTTTCGAAATTATTTTTGTGCAATGTGACGTGTTTCATTCAACATTGTTTTTGTGGCAGTGATTTTCAAATATCACTACAACAAGGATAGGAATTGTCTCACAGTCTGAAAGACTAAACTGCCTCTAAAATAATGGTTCTTATGGAAATTTGGTGTTTGTTTTTAATGAATGAATGGATTTATTTCTCCTGTAAGAATACTTTTAAAAAATGTACAAGGTGTGTCAAGTGACAAGATCTTCAGGGATTGTGTTTTACAAAGAAATGATGTCATTTGGATGTGATGAAATGTCACAATGAGACAATGAGAAGGGGGGAAGAGTCACCGGAGAACAAGTCTTGGGGCAAAAGGATCAAGAGAAAAACTTATGGTCAACAAACCCAAATGAAGGCCAAGATCTGCTAGTTTGCATGGTGGAAAAGTGCACACGCTACAAGAGTTGTATATTTTAGAGACCTCAGGGAAAAGTGTGCAGAGAGCAGATTATTCTCAGTCTCTAACTCTGAACCATGACTTTATATAGCTATGACAACTGAGGGGGATGAGTTGTGCGACAGAAGGTGGAATGGAAATTCAACAACTGGAGTGAAAGAAACAAGGAAGTACAGTTGTGAAGGAGTGACATTGATATGAAAGGGCACAGAAAGAGAAATACACAATGACAGCAGAATTCCAACAGGATGAACAACAATTGTGGTGATTTGTAGCATTTATTTTACTTTAATTGGAGAGATACCACATCTTTCTCAATCATGGGTGTGATGGAGGGTGAGCATGGGCTTTATTTATCATGGCCAGAAAGTCAATGGCATGGTGTTCCAAGAGTTCAAAGATATTACCTGGAGACTTTTGCATAATCTTCTTTGCCAGCCAACTTGAAGCCAGTTTCACAGCAGCTGGTGCAAGCTTTTCACTTATCAGAAGGTGTGAAATTCTCTTTGGAACCATGGAAACTGCCCATCTGACCATGAAATTCTTCCTACGGGCCCATTTCTGAACCATCTGTGATGTCTTTCCTGGTGTCAGTTGTTTTGACACAAATGGCTTTGAAATCCCATACATCAATTTCTTCAATTCAAGCTGTGCTAAGTTTTCTATCAGATCAACATTTTTTTATCAAAAAAAAACATCTTGGGTTAGAATCTTCAAGGCTTTTTGTATATTTGCAAGAGTAACTAGAAACACACTCTTTTCAATGTCGGATAAAGGTGGTTCCTTTGCTAGCTCATGTTCTGTTTTTGGATGTTCAAGGTTAACAACAGGAGGTTTCTGCCTTGTTTCCTCTAAAGTAGAAATCTCCGCAGTTGGAGAGGTGGATTTTGAGTCTGAAGGTTTGGCTACTCTAGCCAATGCCTGAGATGTCGATTCCGGAACTGAGGGCCCCGCTGAGGGAGGCAAGTCAAATAGAGAATATCAATTATTTCACTTTGTTATGTATCTGTTCAAGAAAAATTTCTAGTTTTTTTTCAACTCACTGAGAACTTCGAGATGTGGTTTGATCATTTCATAGGCTGAATTGTAAATGTATGATGGGGTGACCCCCCAAGGCCACCAACTTGATGGAGGGACTACATCCATCAAAATTTGGGTGGTCAATTTGCCGTGTTTCCTAGTGGTATAATGCCAATGCTCACCATTTGAATCACTGGTCTCTGGTGATTTGGTGATGCCTTCATTCACCTTGGCTTCTTCTTTCTCGTGACCCATACTTTCAAGAGGGGGGGATGGCGGCTTGTGGACTTCTGGGGCTCTTTGCCCGTCACGCTCCACTTGCGCTGCTAACTCTTTTGATTTTACAGAAATAATGTGATAAGCCAATCGGTATGTTCTTGTAAAGTTGTATCAGGACTCCTGTGCCACTGACCAGATTTCTGTCCTGATTGTGGTTTGGTTCTCCTCATGTGTGTCTTGAGAAGGTATTTAGTTAAGAAACGTTTTGACTTTGTCTTGAATAGTTTCCAAAGTGATATAACTAAATCTATACCAAACCAAATCTGCTCAATGGTCTGAAAATGGACTTCGAATTGACATTAGGAGATGTTTCACGATTTTAACTTACTTTTCTTTTGGTTGATAAAACCTTTAGAACCTCCATCAACGCGGAATTGCTTCAGTTGATCAGCAAGATCAGGATTTGATTTACTTGTAGCTATATGTGATTGAGAGGATGGGATCATTTTGGCTTGAGGGTCTTCGGCATCAGTCATAACGGTCTCTTTTGCGGTTTTCGGTAATGGTTTGGTGCTTGTCAACTTGGAGTCAGCCATCGCAGCAAGTGTCGGGCCTTTTGAGGAGGCGGATTGTGCATTCAAAGTGGTTTTTGATGATTCCATAAGAGCTGGGGTTCGACTTGCCATTTCAGAATCTTTAGAAGCCGCCCAGAACCACCTTCTTTGATGATTAAATGGTGCAGCAGTCGATGACGATGAGACAAGCCAGATCACCACAATCCAGTTCACCGGGGTCATTCTATTTTGGAGGTGCAAGGGAATGTATGTTTTTTGTGGAAAGAATGAGTTGACAAGAGTTTAGGTGACTATGTTCCCATTGAGCTTCTGTGTTGGTATAACTGGACTTGTTGGGAATCTGGGCAAGAGTGGAAAACTCCCGTTAATCAATCAACTTATCAACCGGTCCCCCATTGGATAGCCGAAGATACGGATCATGTATATCTCGCTCCCGATAAGCTTTGTTTCGGCGACTCATTGACCGGGTGAAAATATTAACCTCTCCTCATCACAACGGTCGAGGTCACGTTTATCAACCGGAGGTCCGTCACAATGGTGGACACAGGGTGGGTGGTTTTGTTTATTCTTGCTCAAACTACACAAAACCAGTGGAGGCTGGTTCTTTTTACTTTATTGGGTTGGGAAGAACATGAATTCCTGAGTCCTTTTTTTTGAGGAAAATGCCAACTCAGAACGGAAAGGATCTGTGGTCAATACCACTAATTAAAAGTGCTCCATATGCTCCACACTACTCGGAACATTTTTCGAGCTCGCGTCGGCTTGGCCCCGCATAATACAAAGCAGTGCTAATCTCTCTGCCCTGGGTTCAAGACAGTAGACAGGATGACACTAGGGATCGGCCTTTGCAACCCTGGTATGTACTGTTTGTGTCATGACTGATCCGTAACTTAAAGAATAAGTAAGATTTATAGATTTATTTAGTTAAATCTTAGATGATGACGTACTATATATATATAGTATTTAGTTTGTTAGATGACATAATCAATTTTGTTTATGTAATCTTCTTACAGATGATGTCATCTGTGAAATCCTGTTGTCGTCATCGGGTCTGTGCTTTAAGTTCATATAGTCTTGTACTAGTTCTTCCTCCCTCTGATCTTTCTCTTTCTTCATCGCTATATTTCTTATCATCATCATCGTTTAGACTAAAAATTACCAATAGTAATATATCATCTTAAAAACCTTATCTAAACATTGATTAAAGTCTTAATTAGACTTTCGACTATTATCTTCTTACCGAGGCGAGTTATTCTCTTGAATAACTTCATAGCCACTGGACCTTTGAGAAGTAATAGGCCGACCCTCACAGTTATATAGCAATCACCATTTATTCTATATCGATCAAATCATAAATTCTATCCATTTCATCGATTCAAAAAATTTTTCGACTATGTCCGACTCGTCATCTCCATTGATTTCCTCTCGTATGAGATTCCCTTCTCCGACTTCAACTCCGCCAATTCAATATTTATCTCCTTGACCGAATTACCTTTCCCCTTCACCTTCACTCCCTCCTTTATCGCCTCTTCCGAACGATTTTCAACCTCGACCGATCCCTCCAATGTCTCCTACCCTTCTGGCTGCCGCGATGCCGTATCAATCAATCCCCGACACACCTAACATCATTCCTGCGACAGCTCGCGATGATGGTGTTTCGAGTTTGATCTCTCACTTGGGTATCGAGAATCAGTCTTTGGACAATACGATTCTCGCTCACGCTCAGAAGATTGCAGATTTAGAAATTCAACAACGGCGTTACTTGAAGTTATTTGATGATTTGAAATCCCTTCTTCCTCTTAGCTCTCAGTTTATGAAGATCAAAACGGATTCGAATGACCAATTCCTTCAAGTACGCAATGCGATCGATTCTGTGAACAACTCCACTAATTCTCGTTTGGATCGTGTGGAGGGATTCGTTGCTCATTCTATCACTCATCCTCCTGTTCAGCCTAAGTCGTTTCGGGATCCTCCTTACCTTTCTCATATTTATTTTTCGGGCATTTTATCGGAAACTAAAGAGTTTTGCTTTGCTATGAGGCATGCTTTAGAGATGCATAGCGAAAATTTTTATAACGAAAAACATAAGGTTATGTGGATCGCCGGGTACTTTCGCAAGCCGGACGGCAAGTTAGGCGACAACTGTGCTTCGTACGTGTGGTGGCGCGGATTGATGGCGAAGAACGCTCATCATCAGAATTTGGATCCGAACACGGCATCTTCGAAGGCAGCGTTTTTATTGGATGAGCTTTTATCGGGTGAAGCTTTCTTGGTTGCGATTGAGACCACGTTCTCCAATCACAAAGGCGAAGAAGAAGCTCGTAAATCGCTCCGGGTGATGAAACAAGGGAACACGTCCATCGAAGAATTCAACGTGTCATTCAACTCCCTCCTCTATGCGGTTGATCTTTCCGAAGCGTCGAAATGTGATCTTTACGACGAAGCCATCAATCCAAAAATCATTCAGCTCGGGATTTTGCGCGGTGGATGGAATGGGGTAACCGACTTAGCGAAGAAGCAGGCAATGGCGGTTGAACTTGCGGCTGATGTGCCCGGCGTGGCGTTGATTGATCGTTTAAGTCAAAGGCCCCAACCCATTATTCAGAAGATTCAACTGCCTCCTAAGCCCGATCATTCGAAAGCACCCCCTAGACTTTCAGACGGTGTTCCTATGGACATCGATGCTATTGCCGCTGAACTCGGCTTTACGTACGACGCTTATCGACATGAATGTGTTCTTCAACACATCTGTCATCGCTGCGGTGGCCGTTATGACTCAGCTCATTCTGAATCGCGACGATGCCCATTAGACAAAGATATGCAATTATCTAAGCCCCAAATTTTAGGTATTTGGCGTGATTGGGGCGGGTCTGCAGGAGACGGAATTGGCGGGGGGCGAGCAAGTACAGGTGGTCGAGCGAACTCGTCTCGGGGTTCTCAATCCATCTCGGCCGTCGACCGATGGTCGTCATCCTCGGGTCGATATCCTTCGTCTCAACCGAACTTTCCTCAACACCAACTTTCTGACAAGGGCAAGAAGCGACAATCTATGTCAGAAGAAGTTTCCGACCACTCACCTAAACGTGCGTTGAATAATCAACAATCGAATTCACCATTGGCTTCCACAAGCCAAGGCATAGTCGACACAGTGGAAATGGAACCGATGACTTTGGGAGAGTTGTTTTTTGAGTGCCAATTGGCTGAGGCTCAATTTGATGATTGTAAGTCTTTGATTTATGTAAGAACTTCTAACGTTTCAGATAATCGTCCTATATTCAATTCATCTTTATTTAAAGATGAGTTGGAACTGACTAAGTGTTCGGTATTGGTGGACTCTGGCGCTACTTCTTCTTTTATTGATGATTCTTTTGTTAGGAATCATGATTTGGAAAAATTCACATTATCCGATCCGATGCAATGCCGGTCTTTCGATGGATCCTTGGCGTCTTCAGGAAAGGTTACAGAATATATAAAAGGGAAACTTTTGATCCCCACAGTTAACAATTCCACTCTTTTCTCTTATGTTACTCTTTATGTTACGCGTATCTTTTCAGCAAATGTTATTTTAGGTAGTTCGTGGTTAATGGATACGAACTCTTATGTTGGAGGAACTAAGAACGATGTAGTTATCAAGCCCTGTTCGCATAGTATTTCTTCTATTGACTGTCCTGATTTCTCTTTTTTATTTGATGAATACAAAGAGGTTTTTGTGACTGAGCCATTGACAGAGTTGCCCCCCAATCGAAAAGGTTTTGATTGTGAGGTGAATTTGAAAGCAGGTGCAGTTCCACCTTTTGGGAAAATGTATAATTTGAGTAAAGGGGAGAGAGATCAATTAAAGATTTATATTGACGAGAATGTTCAGAAAGGTTTTATTCGGGTTTCATCTTCCCCTGCTGCTGCACCGATTTTTTACGTTAAGGTAGCGGGGAAAGCCGATCGGCCTTGTGTTGACTATAGGATTTTGAATGGTATGACTATTCGTGATTCTTATCCTTTACCATTGGTATCACAGTTACTTAATAATTTACAAGGTTGCAAATACTTATCTAAGATTGATTTAAAAGCTGCTTTTAATTTGTTGAGGGTTGCTCCAGGTGACGAATGGAAAACAGCTTTTCGTACGCCATGGGGACTGTATGAATATCAAGTGATGCCCTTCGGCCTGTGTAATGCTCCAGCAACCTTTCAACGTTTTATTCAACATGTTTTACGAGAATTCTTGGATGTTTGTTGTTTCGTTTATATTGATGATATTTTGATTTTTTCTAGGACTGAAAATGGACATTTTACTGACTTACGAAACATTCTCAATAAGTTGCGAGAATTTTCTCTGAAGGCGTCATTGAACAAATGTGAATTTTTTTGTTCCAAGGTAACATTTTTAGGTTTTGATATTACAAAGGACGGATTGAAGATGAGTGAAAAGAAGTTGAATACAATTAATGATTGGCCATTTCCTTCTTCCATAAAAGAATTGCAACGCTTTTTGGGATTTACTAATTTTTATAGACGTTTTATTCAAAACTTTTCAGGAATAGCGGGTCCATTGACAGCTTTGACTAAAACAAAGAAGGCTCCGGTGACAAATTTTCAATCATCGGATGTAACTGACGCTTTTGAACAACTAAAAAAGTCTTTTATTTGTGGTCCTTTGCTTATGCATTTTGATTTTGAGAAATCTCGGATAATTCACGTTGACAGTTCTGGATATGCTATAGCTGCAGTTTTGAGTCAACCAGATAATGACGGTAATATAAGGCCAGTTAGTTATTTCTCTAGGAAATTGACTGATAGAGAACGGAGTTGGCCTATATTTGATTTAGAACTATTGGCTATTGTTTCTGCCTTTGAGGATTGGCGAGCTTGGTTGATGGGAACAGATGAGCCAGTTAAAGTTTTTTCGGATCATTCAAATTTGATGTATTTCAAAACTGCTAAATACTTATCTGCAAAACAGGCTCGGTGGGCTTGTTATTTGGACAACTTCAATATGCTAATTTATCATATAGCAGGCAAACGAAATCCGGCAGATGCTCCTAGTCGGCGCGAAGATTTTGTGGCTGGACGCCCCACAATCCCTGAATCGGCTTCATTGAAAGATAAATTTGTTATGGCTGAACAGTTACAACCGGTGAAATTGAAGGAGGTTCATGATCTTCATTTTCAACGCCCGAATTCTGAAATGATATTATTTTTGCAAAAACATTATACTGATGCGGATAAATCTATACGATCGCTGACAATGACTGATGGGATTTTATGGCACCAAGATAGAATTTATGTCCCAGATTCTTTACGAGTTCGAATTATGGCTATGTATCATGATTCACCTGCGGTAGGACATCCGGGGGTTGCGCGAACACTGTCTATTCTTTTACGAACATTTTCGTGGCCGGGGGTCAAGTCAACAATTCTGGCGTATGTTAAGTCGTGTGATTCTTGTCAACGTGTTAAGTCACGGCGGATGTTGAAAGATGGGAAGTTGGTCTCATTGGTGGCAGAAGCGAAACCGTGGAGCACTATTGGTATGGACATGATAACTAAGCTTCCTTTATCCGCTGGTTTTGATTCCATTCTGGTCGTTGTGGATTTATTGAGCAAGCTGACACATTTCATTCCGTGTAGAGAATCTTCTTCTTCTGCTGTTTTGGCCAATCTGTTTAGGAAAAACATTTTTCGTCTACATGGTTTGCCAGATAAGATTGTGTCGGATAGGGGTACTACGTTTGTGAGTAATTTTTGGAAGGCTTTGATGTGCTCCTTGAACATCAAATCAGCTTTATCTACAGCTTATCATCCTCAGACTGATGGACAAACAGAAAGAATGAATCAGACTCTTGAAGATTATTTGCGTCATTTCTGTTCTTATTACCAAGACAATTGGGATAAATGTTTGGATATGGCTGAATTCTCTTTGAACAATTTAGATTCTGCGAGTTTGAAAATTTCCCCATTTTTCTTTTCTTACGGACATCACCCTAAATTCAACATCATGACGGAATCAACGGGGAGGCAGGATTTGGATGACTTTGTTTTTGATTTGCAGGTTACTCAGGAAACAGCAATGGAATGTCTGACACAGGCGCGGCTTCAACAAGCGAAGTATTATAACAAAGGGAAGAGGGACGCTCCTATTTATCAGACAGGCGAAGAGGTTTTACTGTTAAGAAAGTTTATTCAATCCCGGCGCTTAAATTCAAAGTTAGACTATCGATACATTGGCCCATTTAAGGTAATTAAGATGGTAGGTTCTAATGCGGTTGAGCTTGATATAAAGCATGAATACCCTAGATTACACCCAGTTTTTAATGTATCTCTGGTTGTTAAGTATTTTTCTCCTAATAGCTTTGTAGATCGTGGGCTGTCGGAGGATTACAAGAACAAATATTATGACGAGAAGCAAGTGGTTGATTGGAAGAAGTTAAAAGCAGTATTAGACTTCAGAGAATTGCGCAAGGGGAGTTTTGATTATTTGGTTTCTTGGCAGGGGGCGACGGTGGGAAATGATACGTGGGTTTCTCATTCACATTTCCCTACTCAACTGACAAGTTATTTGAACAATTTTAGAGATTCACACGGTAAGTATTACAAGAAAAATAAAAAAAAGGTAGGGACGGTTTAGAGTATAAGGGAGGCCTGTTTTGTCATGACTGATCCGTAACTTAAAGAATAAGTAAGATTTATAGATTTATTTAGTTAAATCTTAGATGATGACGTACTATATATATATAGTATTTAGTTTGTTAGATGACATAATCAATTTTGTTTATGTAATCTTCTTACAGATGATGTCATCTGTGAAATCCTGTTGTCGTCATCGGGTCTGTGCTTTAAGTTCATATAGTCTTGTACTAGTTCTTCCTCCCTCTGATCTTTCTCTTTCTTCATCGCTATATTTCTTATCATCATCATCGTTTAGACTAAAAATTACCAATAGTAATATATCATCTTAAAAACCTTATCTAAACATTGATTAAAGTCTTAATTAGACTTTCGACTATTATCTTCTTACCGAGGCGAGTTATTCTCTTGAATAACTTCATAGCCACTGGACCTTTGAGAAGTAATAGGCCGACCCTCACAGTTTGGCTTGAACGTGAAGCGGACCCTGCCAATATACTTCTGTAGACTGAGTATGCTTGACACTCAAGGCCCCCTCTCAAGCCCTGAATTGGAGCAATTAACCCACCTGTGGCCACTATAAAGTAATATACTATACAGCTACATATATCGATGTGTTTATACTCGCTAGGGGGTCAGATTGAGCCTGTATTTCAGAGACTCCAGAATCTCCATAAATCCTAGAAACTCTGGGATTTCGACCACCCAAATTCTCTCTAAGTCCCTCATTCCGCACCGCTCCCCCCCCCCCCCACCGGGGCACCCCCCCCGTCATGTCATCCCCTCACTCAGCCTTACAACACATCACATCACGAGCACTCACCTGACATGATCTGCACCTCGTCGGATCACACCGGTGTCGGATCGGCCAGATGCTACCCATATTGATACAAGACTGTTACAACACCCCTCATAACGATTACACAAGGTCAAATTTTATTTTGTACGACACAGCACAACCCCATTTTTGTCAGACAATCTACAACACACCGGTGGCTAAAAATGTTGCACTTATAGTGTTATGTGAGCAATTGATTTATCATATACTAAGTAAGCATAAAAAATCACAGAGAGGTGCAAGTGCAAAATTGTATGGCAGTGAAAAAAAGCAATATAACAGTGAAAAAAGAACACAATGAAAAAAAATTGTACAAGTCAAGTCACGGTAAAAGTGTAGGTGGGAACACAGTGGAGTAAAAAAAATGAAGAAAATAAGATATGGCCGTTCAAATCAAGTCACCGGTGAATCAAGTAGGAATTAAGAAACTGGAATATCATCACCACCATTTTCAATCTCATCGTCAATGTCTGCCCCCCCTGCGGCGTCGTCAATGTTTTCCTCTTGATGTGCTCCAGAAATCACATTCTCATCTACATCCTCGCCATCATCAGCTCCCTCCCCAAGTACTGCCTCCTCCAGTTGAGTGTCTACTTCAGGTTGCTTTACAAACCCACTTGCTTTATCTAATTCCATATCTTTTTTCATGTTATCCCAATCGCGGAGCATCGACTTTCGGTGTTCACTAGGCTGGCAATGTTGAGCAAGCCATAAAACATGTGGATTCCACTCTTCAACTAGCACCGTGTGGCGTAACTGTCGATGTCGTAGTTCTTTCCGAATTAACCTAAGCTTGTTTCTGCGACTCAACCCATATAGGACCAAGTCATCAAACCGATCTAATTCAACATCTTCCGGCTGAATTCTAAGTAGGTCGATACCTACAAAGCAAATCAGACTATCAGGACACATTATCCTCACGTGTTTGTTGACATGGATAGTTACTCACGCTTTCCCAGCTCGGATACTGTTTTCTTGATGCGATCATAGTAATCAATTGCCCATCCTACTGCCCTTGCCAGTTCTTGAGCAAGTAACTGAAACTCTTCTTGGACCCTGTTCAAGATGAGAACACAGTTTATTCCCAATCGCACATTGGGCTCAATAGCCCAGGGAGCCGATGACTGAAAATAAAGCCCATCGTTCCAAAATTGGTGATCCAGCGGCCATGAAGAGAACTCATCGTAGTTGAGAGGATATAATGCCGAGTTAGTCGATTTCTGATCCGGAAATTTCGACAAGTATTCGGAAAATAGTTTGTTACGCTTGTCAATGAGTCTTTGAACCGCTGGGCGACAATTTCCGATAGCCTTGAGAATTTTTTCTTTCAGCTCGGTTCCTAAAGGTGTGCCAAGCCGCTTTGCATCCAGGAGCGGCTGGCGCTCTGCATGGAGTTGGACTGCTTGCATATATAGTGCGTTCTTCGAATTCCAGAGTAGCAGGAGCAGCCTCTGCTTGTCACCTTTCATAGTCAAGAATTGCATCAGTTTAAACAATGATCTATGTTACATCAAAAATTGGAACTGTGTACTTACAGTTCTCTTCACCAGAAGGTAAACCCAAACCCATGGCCTCGGCTTCCTTTGCGTCTTTGATGAGCTTCTTTGAAACATTTTCGATCTTTTTGACAATTTTTTTTACTTCTTTTTCGGATAAGAGATCCAGTTCGGGATCGAGCAAGCTCTCTCTACATTCCTTTCTATCAGCAAAAAGAATAGGGACAAGATTATGTGGAGGTTCTAGATGGGAGTACTTGCCTTAGCTCATCAATCGTTATCTGATGTTCGTAAATCTTGATGAGTTTGTCCCTCTGTTCCTGCTTTTCGTCCATGTGATCTGCTCGGAACGTTTGTTGATGATTCCATTGCGCCTTGAAATATTTGGTTGTGTAGTTACGTCCGGGGCTCTTGAATGGGTTTTGAGAAGATAGTAGTTGTGAGAGTTCGGCTTGGGTCTCCCGGCTTCGTTTCGTTGCGAGTTTAAACTTTCGACTGAGCCATTGGGCTGAGGTTTTTATGGTGAGACATGCATCTAAGGCAAGTAACTCAGATAGCTCACTCACGTAGTTGTCGGATGCCCTTTGTGTTATGATGCCTCAACCGATGCGCGATCGCCGTCAATCGGTGATTACGACTTGCATACCTCAAAGGACTCACAAGTGGCGATAGATACGACCACATTCGCTCCAAACCTTCTCCGTCGGACAAGCCCCACCCGTTGTTGAGGCGAGGATTGTAATCCAATTGACAAGTCCAGTTGTGGACATATGCGTGAAATATTGATGTCCCAAAAGTCGTGTTCTTCATAAGTTCCGGCAAAAGACCTCGCTAGTTGTAGGGATAGTTAATAGTCCATCAATGTGAATCTGATGTGTGGATGAACACTTACATTTTGAATGTATTTCTTAAGTGAGCATCCAATGTCGTAAAGAACTCCGACAGGTCGATCAGGATCCAGTGTGAGTAATGCCTTGAGTAAAGCTAGTGGAAGCGCCCTAAGCTCGCCAGACTTGTAAATGTTCGCCATGGAGATGGCTGCATCATGTCGACAGCAGCATCCCATGAGGCCGGTGTCGTCACATCCCTTCCAAGTGGATTCATTCCTCTTATCGTCAGCAGCCTTGTGTGCATCTGCACATCGATTGGACTATATTAAATCCAGATAAATAAGGTTAGAAAAAAAAACATGATATTACTTGTGAGCAGAACGCACCTGGCTGGGAGGTTTGTTGATAGTTTCCATGTGTCGAATTTCTCGGGTCATCCTTTCGACAGCGTCATTGGGGAGAAAAATGTTGGGTGTGCGAAGAGCTTCGTAATCTCGACTTGCCTTGGTATGATGTCGGTGTTGGAAATTTCCGTCCAGACAAACAACTAGCCGGTTACGTATAGACTCGGGATAATCAGAGCTGTTAGGCGGTTCTGGTCCGAAGCAAGAAGGACATGATCGAGCGGCTAATTTATCTTTTTCAGTCAGGTTTAATGTAGATTCCATCAAGTCGTCTGTCTTGTTTTCAAGCAACCGGAATAGATCTACTGCCGCTGAGAAAGGCTTTCGCAGATCTCGGGCCTACATAAAAAAACACATCTATCAGTCAGGGTTTTCTTGCCATTCAATAGGTCAATTGCTTACATGATTTTTCCCCTTAACACATAGCCGCTCGGAACGAGGCTCCAAGAACTCGGTGAGTGCAGTGGTGAAGGGCAACATACCAATGTGGCAGTTGTTCCACAACGCGTTATGGAATATGAGGAGAGGAAGCGAGAAAGCTGTTTGTGGTTTCAATGGCGATCCAGCTAGATATCCGCGCCACAATAAACGGACTGTGTCGTGTGTGCATTTGCAAAATTCTATCGGCTGCCGCTTTTGACCTATTTGGCAGGGTATTTATCAAACAATTGGTCAGGAGGATGGTCATAAAATGCAACAAGTAAGGTCAAAATACCATATAGATCGACCATGTCAATAGGTCGAGTTTTCTTTTGTTGAGCTGAGCATCCACAGTGGCTAGAGGTATATTCATCGTACGCATTGGATCCCAACCAATTCTTTGTGTGCAATTTGAGCGTGAGGTACCAGGTGTGTAGTTCTTTTGTCAAAATCGTCCAGTTGTATTCCTTGGCAAGAAGACGATATTGCTCTTGAGTTGAGTGGATACTTGGATCGATTTGTTCGGCTTCTACCTCGTCGTCCAACGTCACCCATCTGGCATTGCCTTCTTCTTCCCCGTCCCCATCCAGAGAATCCGCGACTTCTTCATCCTGCCAATCGGAATCTTGAGTTTGAGTAGGGTTGTAGGGGTTCGTCATCAAATCAGAATCCTCAATGATGTCTGATTCGTGAGCAACTGGTTGATCCCCTTGTCGTAGTCGATTCCAAGCACTTGCATTGAGGGCGGCGTTTTGTTGGCGTCTTAATCTTTGAGAGCAAGGTGCGTTCGGCTCCTTGGTTTTTTTTCGTTTGGTCATTGTATGGAAGAATGGGATGGTGAACGGGTGTGGGCGTTTGGATTGATAGAGCTGAAAATTGGAAGAAGTAAAAAAACCGGTATTTACCAATGGTGAGAGCTGGAGAGAGAGCACGAAAGAAAGACTAACCACTCCTGAATTCCAAAAACAAAATTCATTGATACTTCCAACCCTTTTGCATATCAAAAATACAAATAACCATGTAAAACTCATTTTAAATTTGATTTATTCAATCATTGCCACTAATGTTGCAATACTAATATTTAAACTGATATTTTGGTAATTAACACAAAAAATCAATATATAACCACAGGGGAGTGGAGGCCTCCAGCTCAAAAATGCATAGAGCTGTTACTTTTTGGTCACATGCTCTAATGGGATAGACAAAGGATTGCAGATATATAATTTTTCATGAAATTAGTGGATTTGTATTATTGTTCAATGTTCAATATTATTAAATATACTACATATTCCCCAGTGACCATTGGCATAGTGGAACCCAGGAAATATATATTTTTTGAGAGAGATACTATGTATTCCTAGGGATCATGCCCCAATGGATGCAAAAGAATTCCTTCTCTTCTTGATGAAGCAAATTTGAATCTTTATTGAGATGAACACATGGGAACATTTTTCTCATTATATTGCCTTAACAGGAACATACAACACAAACAGGAACATACAACACAATTGAATCTTGGAACAGGATGGTTTTCAAGTAAACCCCAAGTGACCATTGGCATAGTGGAACCCACATATGACATTTTTCTCATTATATTGCCTTAACAGGAACATACAACACAATTGAATCTTGGAACAGGATGGTTTTCAAGTAAACCCCATCACACATTTCCAACATGTGGTCACTGGAAATCTTTCTGTTTTGGGGAAAATTGATGAACACAGTTGAATCTTTGTCATTGTTTGATTTCACATTGTCAACATGTGGACACCTGAAATATTTATGTTTTGGAGAAACATACTATGTGTTTGCAAAACATACAAAAGTCCAGTGACTGTATGAGTGTTGCCACTACATTTAATTGTTGCCACTAAATTTCCTTCAAGAACATGTGTATAACAATATTGGGCATGGAAATAAATTCCCACTTTTTCCACTTTTTCATCCTAATTTGGACCCCAGGTGTCTTACCTTGAGTTGAGGCCTAATGTTTCCGACCTTGCATAATGAAAATTTTCCCATTTGATTGCATGGAGAGAGATAGTGAAAAATACAAGAAGGAAACAAAACATACAAATTTGAGCTTTGGAGAGAGATTGTGAAAAATAAAAGAAGGAAACAAAACATATAAATTTGAGCCTTGGAGAGAGATAGTGCAAAATAAAACAAGGAAACAAAACAAATTATGATGGCTATGATTCTATCCAGAATCTACATGTTTATTTTTTTCGAAATCAATCATACTCTAGGTCTCAAAAGATATCTGTATGAAAAAACCAGATAAATGTTTTCTTACTTATATCCATCATTTTGACATGGCTGGAATGATATTTTCCATACATTGAGCTTGCCAAATGTGCAGGGATAGCAGCACTACTTTTGACAGGTATTCTAATCCAAAAGCCATGGCATGGCAAAAGTAAGGTGTTTAATTTAAAGTTCAAAATTTTTTAGGTTGTAAGATGAGATTTTGCTATATTAGGAATTTGTGAAAAGCCAACAGGGAACCTCAAATTTATAGCCAAAATTGGTGAAGAATTCATGCAAGTGTTTTGTATAGAAAAATATTACTAGGTGAGTCACGTTTGGAAGGAGATCAGGTGTCTCGAAAGGTATCACACCTCAAAACATGCAATAATAATATTTTTACAAGTATTGAAAATAAGGAAACAAAACATATAAATTTGATCCTTGGAGAGAGATAGTGAAAAATAAAAGAAGGAAAAAATTTGAGCCTTGGAGAGAGATAGTGCAAAATGAAAGAAGGAAACAATTTGAGCCTTGGAGAGAGATAGTGCAAAATAAAAGAAGGAAACAAAACACATAAATTGGAGTCTTGGAGAGAGATAGTGCAAAATAAAACAAGGAAACAAAACAAATGATCATGCCAATGAGAAGCACATCAAAACCATCAATCATTTTATTCATCCTGTTCATCCACCACCTCCTCCTCTTCTTCTTCTTCTTCCTCTTCTTCTTCTTCATCCTCCTCATCCTCATCCTCCTCCTCCTCCTCCTCCTCCTCTTCTTCTTCTTCTTCCTCCTCCCCCTCCTGATTGCTTGCACGCTTCTGTTTTTTTTTTGGCGGGTTGGCTTTCAAGGTAGCGGGGCCTGTCTTGCGTTTTTTTTGTTTGATAGGGAGTTTTTCTATGGCACATTGGGCAACTGAAACCGTAGTTGTCGCAGTGTTTGTCGTTGTCGCAGTGTTTGTCGTTGTTGCAGCGTTGGCTTCGGCATTGGCTGGGCTATCGATATCGCACCCAACGCTATCGTTCGAAGGAGCTGGGGGCCCAATCAATTGGACCCAATCTTCCTCAATTGCTGCAACGACCATTTGAGCTGGTATCTCTAACATATCACCAGGCCGTCGACAGAAGTGAATCGGAGAGACATTCAGGTCATTATCTTGCTTCACTTGTAATGTGACCTTAAGTCGGGCAAGTTGCCATTGAGTGCGGGTGCCCGGCCATCCTTTTGTCCACGTGCCATGAGTTGCTAATTCTGTATCGAAGGAGGGTCCCAGATGTCAATTTTTGGCGATAGAGACAGCACACACCATAGCGATGTACTTACTGATTGCAGCATTAAGTTTCTCTCGGATGAACTTGATATTCTTTTTTCTGCTGCCCTTGTCGTGTGGAGTAATGATTTCCCGTGGCTTCGGCTTTCGAGGTTTCTTTTTTGTAACGACCGGCGGCGGCTCGCTGCCCGTGATCTTCTGAATGACCTTGAATCCTTTGATGAAATCCATGAAGTTGGAGACAGGATCATCCTCGGTGGCGTACATGTCAAGGAATCTTTCGCCCAAATGACTGCCCCCCTGAAAATTTAAACTAGAATCTTTGCCGCGCGATCCGACAACCAAAAATCCTTCAATTCCGGAGCTTCGGCTGAGGTTTCTTAACTGATAGTGATGATAGAGACAAGAAATTAGCTCGCGATCATAAATTGATCGGAATGGGCCCAGTGTGAAAGCTTACATCCGCAACAATCTTGTTGGACCAACGATCGGCATCAAAGGTTGGTGGTTTGTGCTTCTGTGTGCCAGATGTGGATGCATCCTTGTTCACCTCGGTAAAGTTTGGAAGCGATTTCAGGAATTCGGGATCCTTCCATTGTTCCTTCGCAGTGTCGTCATTTAAGTGCCAGAGTCTACTGAGTTCACGCATACGATCTTCCACATGCATTGTTTCTGTGAGTTGGATCGGTTAAAACACATAAGTATCGAGCTGAAGCAATGTGAATGTAGAGATGAAATGACTCACTGTCTTGAGCAACCTTGCTGGCAACCAGATCATAACGACAAAAATTGTTGTAATTTGAAGCGCCTCTTGGGTTGATTCCTTCACCAACGTATTGTAAACACGGTGCAATCGCGAGTTTTTTCTTGTAAGCAATCAGATACAGCTGACGTTGGTATTCCATGTAGGCGTCATTGAGTTCGACTTCGTTTTCGGCAGTTAGTCGCGTGTATTGAGCCGTAGAGGCTACGAGTTTGATGAGCTCGTCAAGATCCATGTTTTGGGCTCTTTGAACCTGGTTAGGTGCCATCGTTTTACGTGGGGGGGGCTTGGGTTTGGTTGGGCTTTCATGTGGAGCCTGGTGGGAGTCGTCAGTTGGTAACGGTTTATCGGCAGGGTGAGACGGAATGGCTGGACTTGAATCACTGGGCTCGGTAAGACCAGATAGGGCAGGATCAACATCTATGTGAGATCGAGGGCCAGAGATTGACTCGGTCGGGTTTGGGCCAGAGATTGACTCGGTCGGGTTTGGGCCAGAGATTGACTCGGTCGGGTTTGGGCCAGAGATTGACTCGGTCGGGTTTGGGGAGGCTTGCTGGGTTGGCGCAGGTAGAGCCTTGTTTCAGTGACTCAAGGGCACTGGTTGTAAACTTGGGTTAGCTTGTACGTCGATTGGCTGATAAAATTGGCCATTGAGTTGACCATCACCGGCGTATTGAAGGTAAGAATTTTCCAATGGTGTGAAATCGTTGTTCCGATGCAAGCAAGGAGCATTCTGACGGGTGTCCAAACATATTATCCATCTGATCTGGGGACTCGGCGTGCGGGGGGGAAGTGGGAACAGATAGAGTCGACAGATCAAGGTCAAGGGTAATAATAGGGTTAAATGAGTGAGAAGTGGATTTTTCTCTGGTTTGGGATGTAGAGCTGGGCACAGATTGAGTAGGTTGTGTAACGGCAGGAGGTTGGGACGTTGCTGTAGTGTGATTTCGAGTAGCGGGAGGTTTGCTTTTAGTATTGAATTCGTGGGGTTTCTTTCCACCTAACAAGAGATATTCGGCATCTAAGCTAGCCTTGGTATGGGGGTTGCGGCGTGGCGAGGGTTTGTTAGGTATCATGGTAATGAGTGCAATTAAAATAAAAGGAAGAGGTTATGTCAGCGCGTTGTGGATGGAAGATGAGGCAAGGGAAAAGAGAAGTGATAGACGCTTTATATCTTCACCGGGTTCAGGCTTACAGTCAAATGTATGTCCTTATTATTGCCAATACCCTTACTGCTGATCGTTTTGGTTCTCCCGGTGCGGTGATCGATTTATGATAAGATCTTGATGAAGAAAATTCAGATATATATATCCACCGGGAATATTGGATCAACTATATAAAAGGGACAGCAAAAATGTGAATTAGTTGTCATGGGGTTGGTTGATTGAAGCGAGGAGGATAATTTAAATATGCTTACTAGGTTATATTGAACTTGGCAAGAGGTATTGGCGTAAAGGAACTAATGAATGGATTTTGAGGCGATGGAATGTCGGTGAAGTCTAATGAATGTAAGGTGAGACGCGGTGTTAGAGGTAGTGCATCTGGCCGATCCGACACCGGTGTGATCCGACGAGGTGCAGATCATGTCAGGTGAGTGCTCGTGATGTGATGTGTTGTAAGGCTGAGTGAGGGGATGACATGACGGGGGGGGGGGTGCCCCGGTGGGGGGGGGGGGGGGAGCGGTGCGGAATGAGGGACTTAGAGAGAATTTGGGTGGTCGAAATCCCAGAGTTTCTAGGATTTATGGAGATTCTGGAGTCTCTGAATACAGGCTCAATCTGACCCCCTAGCGAGTATAAACACATCGATATATGTAGCTGTATAGTATATTACTTTATAGTGGCCACAGGTGAATTAACCTGACAATGGTTTACCGTTTAGTCCTTCGGACAAAAATGTTCCATACTAGCTGCATGGAAGTGGGTGCAGACCTGGGGTGTCAATAAACTGGTGTGACCTGTTCCTCAAAGTTATGTGCCTCGGACACAGGAAAGTTTGGATAACTATGTGCACTGGCAGACACTGCTTTGGCCATTGCATTCAAAAAGTTGGTGACACAAAGTTTATATGTAAAGTTGGTAGAAAGTGAAAATTGGCTGCTTACTTTGAAGGGTGATTATACATGAAAATTTTATAAAAAATGGTGTTGAACAGCTGTTGAGTGGGGCATTCACCAGCTCACATTGTAGTAAAGAACTGGAATTTACTGCTTTGACTCAATCTGGAAGACCAACCTGGCTCAAGCTGTTTTGCTTCCTTTTTTCACTTAGGGCCTGTACCATAGGACATCAAAATTCAATTTCTCAAAATTTATCTTGCTCAAAATTTTAGATTATCAAAATTGACCATAACTAGAAGGTAGTCTTTGGTATGAAACTGAAGAATTTCAACACCAGATCTCTCCAATTGTTCCCAGTTTTTGTGCAGAGGATGGAAAAAAATGTCCTTTTTTTAAAATTGGACCCTATGGTACAGGCCCTTATAATCATTCTTCCCATGTTCCATTGTTTCTTCCTCTCTGCACTCCCACTCCTCCAAAATGAATATCAAAGCTTTCAAAAAAAAAAAGATTTTTTTGTATTCATTTTTGGGCTTGCCAGCTTGGCTGACCAACTCCCAAATATTGGAGAGTTGACTCCCAAATCCCCCCGGTTTTCCCCCACTTTCCCTGACAATTGGGAGTCAATTCCCCAAACCCGTCAGCAGGTTTGGGAGTTCGCCCCCAAAACAATTTAAATTAAAAAAATTAAAACCCCAGAGGGGTTGGGTGTCAATGCTCCAAAACCAAGTGGCTTTGGGGGGTTGGTGATTGAAAAAAAACATGGCTGGGAGGATTCCTCCCGGTGGTGGAGAGTGCACTCTTGACGGCCAAGAGGATTTCTCTTGGTTGTTAAGGGTATAACCTTCAATGGCCAAAAGAAACCTCTTTGCTTTCAAGAGTGTACACCTCAACAGCTGAGAGAAACTTCTTGGCTGTCAAGGGTTTACAACTCAATGGCCGAGAGAAACTTCTCAGCCTTCAAGGGTGTACACCTCAACGGCCAAGAGAAACCTCTTAGCCGTCAATGGTGTACACCTTGACAACCAAGAGGTACACTCTCTGCCATTGAGGGTATACAGTTGCGGACAGCATAAACCGACCCTGCCCTGCCCAAAAAATTCAAAATTGACATGCGGGGCATATAACCACGCACCCAATTTTATTGCAGTTTTGAACTCGTACACATGTGTAGAGATCAGAATTGCAACCGCTAAACCTCTGCACCAGCGGTTCTTGATATTTTTTTTTGTCACATGCATGTATTCGGACATGCCTAAATCCATAACTATGGGGTTTAACCACACATAGTCATGGGGTTATACCTTGTAGACTCCTCTATCATAGCTGTAGCATCTACCCTATGCATTGGTGAATGCTCTACAGTATATTCTAAGCATTTTGAAGGCTAAAAAAAGCCTAAAAGTCTGAAAAAAATCCTGATTTTTTGCCTCAACAATTTGGACATCCAAAGAATCCTGGGTTGGTCTATGCCGTCCGCAACTGTACACCCTTGACGGCCAGGAGGAATCTCGATGACTGGGAGGTACACTCTTGGATGTTGAGGGTATACATTCTCAACGACCAAGAGGAAACCCTCTTGGTTGTTGAGGTGTACACCCTTGATGGCTGAGAGGATTTCTCTTGGTCGTTGAGGTGTGTATTTTTGACGCCTGGGAAGTTTCTCCTGGCTGTGGAGGTGTACACCCTTGACAGCCAAGAGGTTTCTTTCAGACGTTGAAGGTTATACCCTTAATGTCAAATAGAAATCCTCTTGGCCATCAAGAGTGCACTCTCCGCCACCAGAAGGAATCCTCCCGGCTGTCAGTTTTTTTTTCAATCACCAACCCCCCAAATTGACACCCAACCCCTCCGGGGTTTTCCTTTTTTATTTAAATTTTTTTGGGGGCTGACTTCCCAACTCACTGAGGGGTTTGGGGAATCAACTATCAATTATCAGGGAAAGGGTGGGAAAAACCAGGGTATTTGGGGTTTGGGAGTCAACTTTCAAATATTTGGGAGTCGGTTAGCCAAGCCCCTTCATTTTTTGGGACTTATTCTGCACCCCTTGACCAAGTCTCATGACTTCAAGTTTATGTTTTGAAACTCTGAGATCCAAAATAAGCAGCCTCTTTTCACTGCCTACCCACTTTACCCCCAAAATGTATTCCACTATCCACCTTACTTGAAATCCCTCATGTCCTCAGATCCAATCCCAATAAGAAACTCTCACTGAGCAATAATGAATTTGAGGTGATGTTCAAATTCCAGGGGTTGGAAATAAACCTGTATAAAGGACTGCACTTTTACTAAGTCATTGAAACCATCATTTTGTAATTAAAAAATTTGAATTCAGATCTTGATTGGTCATGTATTTGATTTTCAGAAGTTCTATGACACAATATAAAATACATTCTTATGTATACAGAAAAAACTCAGGAAGATTTGTCCCATATGTGAAGATAGTGAATCTTCATTTTGATGCTGAAGATTTTGATCTTCAAGAAGTTTGTTTCATTAAAATTAATCACTTAGACAAAAAATGTTAATGATATCAAAGCTCTAAAAACAAAAACTACATGCAAAATGATGATTATTTTGTGACAAGGGGTTTCAAGAATTTAAGTGTTGTTTTCTTCCCTGTGAATATTATTCAAAAGTGTACAATGAAGTGTCTGATTGAGCTATAAGAGGGTGGGTATCAGAAAGAAGGTGTTACATTTGGTTGAAAACGGATGTCGAAAATTTGGTGTTTTAATTTAAGGTTGATAGCGATGGGAAAGACTTCCTTCTCCCTTACGTCGGATGTGGTGCAGCGTGGGCGTTAGCTTTATTGATGGCGGCTAGAAACTCGATGGAATGTCGTTGCAAGACTTCAAAGATATGATCGGATGAAAACTTCATGATTGTCTTCGCTGCCCAACTAGCAAAACCTTTCACAAACGATGGCGCGATTTTCTCACGTACGAAGTAGTTTGAAAATTTGGTTGGAACATGGTTGACTACCCATCTCAACGCGACATTCTTGTTCCGTACTGATTTATCAACGAGTTTTGTGGTCTTTTCAGGTGTTAGATACCTCGATACTATTGGCTGCAGAATTCCGTTTACTAAGCTTGTCAATTCCGCTTGGGCTACTTGCTCTATCAGATCCATTGTTGTTGTTTTTTGGGGGAAAAAACATCTTTGATCAGAATCTTGAGATCCGTCTGGTTGTTGGAGAAATTCACATACTCTTATCAATGCTGGATAAATCTGATTCCTGTGACAGGGTGGTTTCTTCCTTGGAATGATCAAGTTTAACAACAGACAATTCTTTTCCAGATTTTTCTTCTGGATGACTGAGTTCGGAAGCTGAAGATGTGGTTTTTGAATCTGTAGGTTTAGGTACTGTGACCAATGCCTGTGATGTAGGTTCCGGCGTCCTTGATACAGCTATGGGCGATAGATCGAATCCACGACACTATTCAGTTCACTTGAAGTGTCCAAAAGGAATGTTAAGATTTGTTTTACTGACTCAGACGATAAGGGAAACGTGTTTTGATGGTATCCAGGAGCGAGTTGTAAATATTTGACGGGACACCCATCAGATTCCGCCAAGACGATGGATACACTAAATTCGGTAAATCTCGGTCGGTCAATGTCATGAGTCATTTCTGGAAAAGGTTCAATGGAAGTACTTACTGCTACTTTGCGCCTTCTCGTGGGCTAGATCTTTTTCCTTCTCGTGTGACTCGGCGAGCTCTGTTGATTTGTCTCTGCTTGGAATTGTCTTGGCCTTTTCATTTTCATTGACCATCTTCTCCCGAGGGGCGGGTGGGGGCTTCTTAACCTTTAGCGCTTTGCGCCCCTTACGTGCTACTTGCGTTACTAACTCTTGCGAACCTGCAAAGTGAACAATAATTAGCGGTTTTGTGTTTCTCGCACATTGATTCAGTCTTGCCACTGACCATATCGCCGAGGTGAATACAATTTCATCTTCTCCATGAGCGATTTGAAAAGGTAGATGATCGCTAAACTATTTGACTTCATTGTCTTGACTTTTTCCCAAAGAGATGAAGGCCCTAAACCAAATCAGATAAACTCAATGGCCCGAAAGGATAGTTGAGATGGATAGTGGGTAGTGCTTCAGAGTTTCAACTTACATTTCTTCCTTTTCAGAAAACCTTTCAAGCGGCCAGAGAAACTCAATCGCCCCAACTTGTCGGGTGGCTCAGGCTTTGATATTTCTGGGATTTTACTCGTAGGTTTCTGTGATTGAGAGGAAGTGAGCTTCTCCGCATCAAACTTTTCGGTCTTGGCCACAACGCTGTCTTTTGAGGGTTGTAAGCTTGGTGATTGCGGTTCGGAGACAGGATGCTTTTCTGGAATTTCGAGGCTGAGTGATTGAGAACCAGAGGTAGGTTTATTCGGCAGTGACTTGGACTTTGTCAATCTTGGGTTAGCTATCTCAGGGAGTGTCGAAGCTTTGACTGTGGCGGTTTGTGCAGTGGAGTAGCTGGCTTTTGATGTTTCTAGGATGGCCGGGGCTCGACTAGCCATGATAGGCTCTGGGATGAGTGCGAGTTTTGGTCCAGAGATGGAAGCGAGGAACGACCTTTTATCGGGATTCATTGGTGCAGCAGTCGAAGAAGATGAGACAAGCCATATGATTCCAATCCAGCATATCAGTGGCATTTCGGATTTGAGGGTGTAAGTGAATGTGTGCTTTTTTGGAGAAAGAGTGAGTTCAGAAGGGTTGAGGTGGACTATTTTTCCATTAGGCTTCTGTGTTGGTATCTGGACGTAGTGATGATCCATGAAACTCCTGCTAGGCAGTAGCCAATAACCCCGATGTTCCTCCCAACAGAATATGATACATACAACAAGAAAACCAAAATTTGTCGCAAAGATTTTCAGCTGGCGAAGCGTTTGAAGATCTGTATTGCACCACAACAACTTGGGCCTGGCCCTGGGCAATCGGTCTGAGACAAGCCAGCTCTCATGCTCAAAATTCAGATCCAGTGTGGGTTATCATCACATCCCTGACTGCAGGGACCAACAGGAAGCCGCTTGATGTTTTCCGCTTGCAGTACTTGGACGAGTTTGACACGGAGTTGGAGCTTGCTTCTCCGGGTTGCGGGTTGGTTGCTACAGACGGCCGCCGCTGAAAAACGCCCGTGTGGCTACATAAAAGAAATACATGTTGAGATTGTTCTAGAAGTCTCCGATCGTCTTTGACGGCCGACCGCAAGCACGGCCAAGTCCCCTTCAAGGAGAGCTGCTCCAGAATTGATGAGGCTAGGTAGCCGCTAGGATCTCTAGGATCTGAAGGAGAAGAAAGATGCACTCGGCCCTCCCAGACCCACAGTGACAGGATTCCGGCGGAGGCTCTCGGAGTCGGAGGCAAGTTTAACAGAGTTTAACACACTCCGCAGCATGTCGCCGCAGCCGAGTCGCATACAATCAGATGCATACATTCACGAGCAGCCGCAGCAGAACTGCGCTGGACTACATACAACAGGATCAAGGAAATGGTCAACAGGACTTGAGCAAAGACCAATTTCCTCAACACCCTACATAGTCAGCTCGGAAAGAGGACCCCAGATGGTAAGCATCATCAGCCCCTTATTTTCACCACTCGATTATCACCATCCTATTAACTTACTTATCAATCGATCACCAGCCCAATCAGCAGCATTCGACTTGGAAAAGAAAAGGTCTAAGTCTACCTCCTCGATTAGCTGCCGAGCTTACTGCACTTGGTCATAGTGTCAGCTCAAAATCAGATCACTGGAAACCTCGTAACCTTTCCAAAGCGTCATCAGCAAAACCAACTCACAAGCAATCATCTTCAAAGAATCCTTCTTCTTCGGGCGATCGACGGGCTCAACATTCATCCTCCGAAAATCCAAACGCTTCAAAGAGAAAATCGCTACCAAACAAACTCAATTCTGAGCCGAAATCGAATAAGAAGCGAAAAATTGATGATGCTGCTCCCGAGGTTCAAAAGCCCTCAAGCTCAAAATTGAAACCCGCGACGGCACTGGAGAAACTGTTGAAGAAACAACATAGACCTCAGCTGGCAAAAAAGAGCCAGAATCAGAAACTCAAGCCGAGAACTAAAGAGGAGCAATTCGAAGATCAACAGATAGCGTGGTTAGAAGCTCAATTGGGTATCAAGGCTGGCCAAGATTCAAAAGCCAAACTGCGTCAGGAATTCCAAGAGGATGGCTTGGAAGGTCAGTGGGAATTGGTTTGCTAAACTCCCATTTCTATGCGTCAAAAAACAGTAGCTGAACACATTTCTCTGGGCCGTCTCTACCTACAGATTTGTTTGATGGTCTAGATGAATTGGATCAGCTGGTTGAAAATCTAGACACATCGCAGGATCCGGATGCGGGGACGCATTTGGATGTAAATTTGGACGAAGACGTGAGATTCTCTCTTATCTCTTCTTGAAAAAAGTTTGATATTACAATCATCTCTTAAAATTCAACAAGCACTCATATTCTTCTTAACTATAATATCTCCAGGACATTCAGGATGACGAAACAAGCTCTGAATCTGGGCACAGCTTGGATTCCGACTCTACCTGGCTCGGCTGCGACGACAATGTTGATGGGACCGAGAGCCTAGATAACCCTGACTCCCATCCAATAAGTAAATCTATCACCAACCACAAACCAGATGATTCGGGACAGAGTGAAACAGCAGAAAAGCGGGATCAACCAGAAGCCGTCCCAGCTCCTTCTAATAATCCAGCACGTTATATACCACCTCATCTACGATCAAAACAAGAAGAACCACCTCAGGGCCCCGAGAAGCTGGATAAGCCACCCCTAGATCTTCGTCTAAAGCGCCAAATGATGGGAATTCTCAACCGTGTCTCGCCGACTTCAGTACCCGTCTGCCTTGAAAGTCTGCGAGACCTATACGTGTCACATCCGAGAGCAGTGATCACACACGGCCTAGGTGACCTTATCCTCGGCTTGATATCATCCAAAGATTCTCTCAGTCCTGCATTACTCGTGACCTATGCTGCCCTAGTCTCTGCGATCACTCGAGGTGGTGTCCAAGTCAGTGGGGTCGAAATAGGTTGGGCAGCAACTTTTATTGCTGAGCTGGTCACTAAGATTTGCGCGATATATGAGACGCCGAATTCGATCGACACCACTGCTGAAGAATTTGGAAAAGGTGGAATCAACCTGTTGGGCTTTCTATCACACTTGTATTTCTTCCAAGTCGTTAGCTGCACGTTGGTCTACGATATCGTTCGATTGTTGATTGAGTCTGGGTTGAGTGAACTTAGTGTAGAGGGTTTGATAGTTTTGTTGAAAGGTACAGTTCTCCCTACGACTTAATCTTGACTTCCGGTAATACAGGCTGGCCTGAACTTGTTTACATCATTAGCCTCCGGGTTTCGACTCCGTCATGATGACCCATCGGCTCTCAAGGACATCATTATTCTTGTTCAAGGAAGTCGAAAAAATCTCGAAAACGCTAGGTACGGCTTGAACACATCCTTTTAACCTTCTGATCATTGGAAACTTACAAAAAACAATGTACAATTTCATCATACGATTAGTCCTCGGACCATGTTCATGCTAGACACCCTGACGGATTTGAAGAACAACAAGGTTCGCAAAGATCCACAATCGATCAGTGGGACCACTGAGGAGCTTCAAGAGAATCTCAAGAAATATCTCGGAGGATTGTCCAAGAAAACAGGTAGGATATGGAGTTCGGAAGAAGCGAGTTCTCAAACATATTTTTCTTCAATACTGATTGGGTTTTTTTATCCTTTTTTTATGTAGGCTCGGATCCAGAGCCAATCCAATTTAAGTTGAAAGACTTGCAAGAAGCTCATAAGAAGGGCAAATGGTGGTTAGTTGGCGCTGGATGGAATGGAAACCCACTAGCCGATGAAAAAATTCAACTTCAAGGCCGAAGTCAGGATGTGTCGACTCAGGATTCTACCGATAAGGTGATGATGGACTTAGCGAGACGTCAAGGTATGAACACCGATGTCCGTCGGAGCATTTTCAACGCAATCATGACTGGCGAGGTCGGTCTCCACTTTCCTCTTCCACTTTCCTCATCTTCTGCATCCAGTTGCTCACGTGGTTTTTGGTGTGATCATTGCTTGCCGCAACGTAGGATTATGTTGATGCATGCGAAAAAATCAATCAACTAGGATTGAACTCGGTACAACAAAGAGAGATCATTCGAGTTCTTTTGCACTGTCTCGGAAAGGTTCGTCCATTTATATCTACCCGAAATACAAGAAGCCTTGATACTTGTTGAGGACAAATGATAAACAAAAATGCCGAAGTCAGATTCATTGATTTATCTATCTTGACAAATACCCACAGGAAAAGAATTATAATCCATATTACACGATGATCGGACAAAAACTAGCATCTGAATCGCGATCGATCCAGATCACGATGCAATTCTTGCTCTGGGATTTTTTCAGAGAGCTCGGTGAAAAGGAAGTGGGGGGTCAAGAAATGTTGAAAAACTTGAATCTCGAACAGGACAGCATTCAAGATGATTATCATGGCCGTGGCGGTAATTTGGTGGATCTAAAAAAACTGCATCATCTTGCTTGGGCGTATGGATGGTGGATAGCAAAAGGATCTCTTTCAATTACTGTCTTGAAGGTACTTTTCTTTTCTCTCTTCATCAGATAACAATCCAGATAAATTGATGGTATACTCAATTCGCCTCCGGCTGTTGGTTCAAATTTTAGCCTCTACCATTTGGATGTCTCAAACAAAAAACTCAAGAGTTTTTGGCGATTTTGATCAGCTTGATTTTCCTTTCGATCAACTCCACCTCACCTACGCTTATTCCATCGTCATCAGCAACATCTACAGCGGCACTTACATCATCCACGAAATCGATAAAAATTGATAGCTCATCACTTGAAACAATTTTCAAAAAACTCTTGACCAACTCGACTCTATCTCGGTCGTTTCTAGGCTTTCTGGTTGAGGAATCCCACCAAACTGGCTATGACTTTTATCTGAACAAGTTCATCAAGAAACCCCTTTCTTCTTCTTCTTCCAATGTTACGTCAAACCATCTTGATTTTTTTGGCTTGATGATTCCTCAAAACCGGCTTGTTTACTTCCTCAACTTGATCACCTTATCAAAGTCTTTTGTTGTTGACTTTTTATCTGATCAAATTTGATCTTCTCTTTGCTGGATAAAAGTCAATGCTTGATTGACGCAATTGTTCACATAAAATATTCTGTGCTTTTTACAGATCACACAAGACTTTGTCACTCAGGTTCATTGAAATGTTATTGTTTCACATGAAATACTTAATCTATTGAAGATAAGATAAGAGAAACTGATAGGATAGGAAGCTTGGATAAGCGACGTGACAAGAAGAATATGATGAGAAAGAAAGATCGAGTGATCTTAACGAAGAGATGAATCTTGATGAGGCGATGAGGTTATGGAAACAAAATAATACATTCGAATGAGAAAAAGAAAGAGAAAGAGAGGAGAAAGGAAAACTGGGCAAAGCCTCTTATCCCTGAATCCGACTCTTGCTCCAGGGTCCGTGCACCTTACTGCACGGACCATCCCTTCCACATCGAACACTCCAAACATCCCTACACACCCCATACTCCTAAACATCACATAAGAAAGGTACAGTCAAACTTGTCTAAAGGTGTACCCCTCTTGGGAGAAGGACTTTTGCATGACTTCAAACAAGCTATGCCCTGAGGCAGTGAATTTGCAGCAAAAGTCAGACTTGGAACTTGGAAGCCCTTCACTATGTCCTTATGCAGGTTGTGCACACAGAAGGGTATACCCTTAGACAAGGTTCCCCATGTTCATAGAAAACAGAAGATTATGTGCTCATAAGTTGAATTATCTGAGAACTTTCTTCCCAAATTTTTCTATTTTTCTTTCTGCTCACCTATCTCAGTAGTAGCACCAAAAATTGGCAATCAGCTACATACACATCTCTTTTTGGATGTACTGCATAATAGCTTGGGGTAATATGTGACCGAGTCAGGGTTTTGGGTTGGAAATATATTTTTTAGTTTGGTGTGATAAAAAATATAACACAAATTTTGAGTAAACCTTGGCTGAGGAACTAAGCATGTAGTAATCCTGGTGAGCTTGAAGAAAATAAATAAATAAAATAATGAATGTCAAATAAGAATTCAATTCTATTGTTTCTCTAATAGCTTTCAGATACAACATCTACATACAGTCAAATTATGAATATGATAAGACTCAGTTGAGCATATATATGTAACATTGAGAGGTCATGGGGTTAAAGTAATGAAGGCTCAGCTTCAAGGACAAGAATTTTAACAGAAATTCAGAATTGTTTTTGTTTAATAAAATGTTGCTAATGTTCCCAAATCTATAGATTAACTTTCTGAATTCCCAGTTGAAATTGTTATTTGTTGTCCCTGGATCCAGAATTACCTCCTGGGAGGTCTGGTTAAATTAGGTTGATAAGCAAAATGACTTGAACCTTTAGGGTTTCAAGTTCAGTCCATTCTTGACAGAATCTACAGAAAATTTCCATTTTTGTTAGCTGAGGCCTTTTTGATTTGAATTCAGATTACCATTGCTTACAATTTTCTTCCTTGTGGTTCAAAGAATCATTCAATGTAGAGAGTTTAACCTAGGCCCTAAATCTGGTAAAAGCTTGAGGATTTTTGCAGTTACCCATTTTGCAGCACCTTTGGTAGCAGCAGGTGCTATTTTCCTCTTCAGAAACCAATGGAAAACTCTAGGTGGTGTTATCTTAAGTGTCCATCTCACCCATCGACTTTTTGCTTTATTCCTTGCTTTGTATAACAAGATCTTTGTTTTCTCTGGTGTTAATTCTTTTGTAGTTAGCTTCTCTATGAATCCTCGTAAATACTTCTCTATTTCTTGCTTCACTATGTCCACTATGTTAAAAACCCATGGGGATTTTGATTATATAAAAACAAATTTGTATCAAATTTCTTAGACTTTCCAAAATTGCCGAGATTTTCTTCATGTTTTTGTTTTCAAGATTAACGGATCAACTTACATGGAGCATCATGAAATGCAGGGGTTGACATCTTAATTGATTCTTCAACTGGGGATTTTGTGGGACTGATTTAGTGAAATTCCAGTATCAATTTCATTTAGATGACTGAGACTGTGCATACCTGAAGCTTGTTGAAGGCCCGCTTCCTCAAAAGATTTTGGGGGTGGCCCTTCAGAAGCCAATTTTCCACATGATTTACACACTGTTGGTGGCACAGATTCCTGGAAGAATGATGGAACTAAATCGGATAAATCCGATAGAAAATTGAACTCATTATTTGACCGCTTGCCTTCAATACAAAAAAACCTGAGATCCATTCTAACTGACCAAAACGTGGAGGTACATAGGACTTGGCCTTCTCCAAAACGAAACTGGCCATACTCCACGGGACGGAAAAAATTCGAGACCCAAGTGATGGAGACACTGCATATATAGGATGGTCAATGATGGAATCATGTGCAGCTGTGCACCAGTTTGCCAAACTGTGAATCATGAATGCCCACCCTCACTTTCCCCCGTATTGTGGACTGAAAGTGCTCCCTTTTCATGTGGTTGTGCAAGTTCTAGCGTTTGGATTGGAGGAACAGATGGTTCAAATTCAATGGCCCCATGCTCGTCGTGTCTCGCCTGTTCTTTAGATTTCCCCGATGCTAATCAAGGCGTAGAAAACAGTGAATAGAAATAAGATATTGCAAAATTTACTCATAGACTCAATATTCGGAGGTATCATGCTTCACTGACTATGACCACGACGGAAGGCTCGTTTGAAAGTTATTCGAACCTTTTCGAAAAACCGATCAATTCTACGTTTCAGGTTTGTGAATAATTTTTTGAGTGCTATAAACCCTAAACCAAAACAGGAGTGCTCAATAGCATGAAGCAAGAAAAGATTTGGAGATATGAATAACCTCAAAATGAAATCTCACGTCTTTTTGTTTCAACGCCGTGCTTCAGCTCATGTGGAGACTGATCGGGTCGTGATGATTTTGGAATTTCATTCGTAGCTTTCTGCGATCGGGATGGCTTGAAATTTCTCGTTCTCATTTCTTCAGACTCCAGGGGAGAAGTTCGTTCCGATGGTTGAAAGATTGTTGATTGTGAGGCAGGGAGCGGACTATGTTTAGTAGGCGTGAAGCTCGACCTTCCCAGGTCACCGAGTGGTTCATTTGCCAGCGGTTCGGTGTCGCCCAATTTTTGTCCGGCTATCGGCTTCGATTTGTTAAGTTCGATGGCTTCGGGTCGTACATTAGAGAAAAGTTGTGATAAATCAAGAAGAGTCGGTACCCTCAAGCCGACCGCCCTTCGAGTGAGTGGTGCAGCCTTCAAAGATGTGGAGACAATACAAATGATCCAAACCCGGAATACCAGCGACGCTTGCATCTTTTGCTGGAGCACTAGTTGAGATTTCAGATGTAATTGTTGGAAGGAGTTAGCCCAAGAGACTTGCTCTAACTTTTACTGTTCCCTCTGAGATGCCTTTGCATTGCTACCCGCTTGATGGAGGGAATATTTAGGGACGACTGTTTCATGAAACATTTTGAAGCTGTGCACCTCTCAAGGTGCCTGGATGTAACACCCGAGATGGGTGATGCCCAAAAGCAAATAAGATTAAACACAAAAGTATGGCCTTCGTGCCCATGATAGGAATACCCGAGGGCACGTGTCACCTACCTCGTCCTCTAGGACCTATCAATCCTGGTCGATTTTTGCCTGAGTCGCAGTGGTTTCCAGACGTTTTATCTCGTCGGCGAAGCTCTACAAGATCTTAGACCCGCTTCGCTATGGACAGAGCGTTTGAGCGACTCCCTGATGATGGTACAGTCTATCTGTGGGCGTAGTCGCACGCTTTGAAGTACAAGGCAGTGATCGGTGAGATGGACCGAGACCGATAGCACATTGTTTATCCAGAGTGCCGAACAGGGATCATATCCCGAACTCAACTCAACTCCATCCGGCTCCCGAAATCATATCCATCCCCGTCACCTCTGCGCCCATCGGCTAAGGACTTGCCAGCGGGAAGACGCCCCGCTGGCTCACGGAATCACGCCGTGCACCCTAGCCAACTTCCAAGGCTACCGTCGAAGTTCGCATAAGAGGCTCCTACTACCCCGGTGAAGGCGAGGCTGGTTGGACTTGACCAGCTTTCTGCCTAAATTTGAGGGTATTCAGTACCTTTTCAATCGAAGCCGGTCCCGCATGATCAAATCATGAATGCGAGGATGCAGGTCTTCTTGCGGTGACAGTATTAGCATATGAACTTTGCACACAGACGATGTATCGAAGAATACTCATTTTTATTGATAACAAAAAAGGTCATTGCAATGTAAGGACCATTGGCAAGATGTGCCAAGCTTTGTCATTGCTCCCTTCCGGAGTGGAAGCTTCTCTTGTTGGGGGTTAAGGTCATGAGGATATTCTAGAAAATAGTATGGCGGACGCACTTGCTAAGGAAGCTACTACATACATGCACTGATACGACTGGTTTCCAAGCAACTTGCCGAAGATATCCAAGCTAATAAATCCAATCTACTCTTGCGGCTGACTCTGCGCCGGCCGGGGGGGGGGGGGCCTTCTCACTTTAAGAAGTCAGCCAGCCCTAAGAAATTTTCCTTTTACTTTTTCGGCCAATAGCCGAATACGGGCTTCTGAGCCCTTCGGGCGGGTGGACTGGGTGGGACAAGAATTTCTTCTCTGCTTCCTTCTTTGCAGTTGGTTTTTGTGTCGTATTAGTTGTGTCAGGTGATCATCTTGAGGACTTTCGGTGATGTTGGTATTGGTGAGGACCTTGCCTCCCCCATCTGTGGTTCAGCATCTACTGCATGCTGTGTCTCACTCCAATCTGGCTCCCTTACCACCATGCCATGGTGTTTTCCCACCTCAGCTGCATTGCTGGTAACAGATGTGTTAACCAAGTCAGCCAAACCTTTGGGCCTCCACACAGTGTAGTTCCATGATAATTCAATAGACATGCACAAGGGAAAGGTGCATCTTGTTCAAGCATTCATTGGTCATGAACTTGCACCAGTGACCCTTGAGAAGCAAAAAAACTAACTAAAAATTGAAATAAAGATATTTGAGGAATTGTTTTTTCCAATTGGAAAATGTTTGTTGGAATAGCTGCATTTGGCTCACTCAACTTGTATGCATCACAAGAGCCCACCAAAAACATCTAGAAAAAGAGTTTCATTGATTTTTATCACGAGAAAGAACATGGAAGCTTTATATCCCCATTTACACCATTTTTGTTGGACAGGTCTCTAGGTATGTAGCACAACAATGTTGAGTGGCAAGATATGTACACCACTGTGTGGTACAATGGGAGGAAAGAAAGTGGCTGCTTGTTTTGGATTCCAAATCTACAAAACACAAACTTTAGACTTGGTCCAGTGGTGCAGAATAGGTCCCAAAAAACGAATATGAAGAAGTACAAGCAAAACACAAAATTTGAAAAATTGTGACAAATAAAAGATAAAATTGTTTTTTTGTTTTAGGGGCTTGGTTAAACAACTCCCAAAAAATGGAGAGCCGACTCCCAAGCCCCGGAATCCCCGAAAAATGGGAGTCAAACCCCCAAAACCTTTGACAGGTTTGGGAGTCGACTCCCTAAAAAAATAATAATAATAAATGAAATTCCCCGGTTGGTATAGGAGTCAATCCTCCAAAACCAACCAGGGTTTGGGGGTCGATGAAACAAAAGACCCCCACAGAAGCGGCCGGGAGGATTCCTCCTGGCCAATCAGATTACACACTGATGGCCGAGAGGAATCCTCTCGGCCGTCGAGATTCTGCTCTCAGCGGCCGGGGTGATTTCCCTCGGCCGTTGGCTGTCAAGAGTATACACCTCGGCTGTGGAGAGTGTACACCTCGGCCGTTGAGAGTATACACCTCACACCAGGGGAAATTTCAGGGCACTGGCTTTCCAGTGACTGCAAATCACAAATAAGTCACCCTGGAAGATTTGAATTTTTTTGTAAAAATCACTAAAAGGATCATGAAAGAAAATGGGACTCACAAGAAAGTCACTAGATTTTACCCAGAATTTACTACTAATTTCCCAGAAAAGAAAATGAATGTCCTCTAAAATTCCCTTTTGCTTACACCTAGTTTCCCCCCAAAGATAAGGCTGCTGATTCAAATAAAAAAATAAAACTTGCTAATTGAATACAATTTTCATGGCCTCAGCAGTTTTTTTGGAACAAATATTACAGATTTGATTCACAATCAGATCAAGGGAAGCTCTAATTTTTTTGGTTTTGTAGCCCCTGTAGAAATACATTTAGAACATCACAGAAATTCAACCATATTCAAGTTTGTGATTTCTCTTTCTAAATTCATCAATAACAGATGCCAATTATATGTTTATCACACTAATAGTGTACACCTTAATCAGAATTATAAATCAGATTCAAATTTATATTGCAAATAATTCATTTTTTAGGGGGAAGGAATGAAGTAATTAATTTGATTTTGATCAATCACTCATTTTAAATAGTGTCATGACAAGTCCAAACCTGCTGGGTCAAGTAGCTATGTATACCTGGTATTCCCACTAAAAGATTGTGGAACAGTGACCAGGAAGTATGGTCTTGCAAGCCAGTCTGGACACAGGCCCAAGACCTGTGTGGCTGAGTGCCAATGGGGCTTGGGTGTGTGCCCAGGGGGCTTGATTTGGTAGGTCGTGCAGGGACTGAAACTTGGCACTAGCCCAAGTCCGGCTTGGCCGAACCCAAGCTCTGGGCTCACCAGAGTGCGGGTGGCAGACTTGGGGCCCGGTCAAGTGTGGATCGGTGAGGTCAGCTTTGGCGCGGGTGGCACACTTGCTTGGGCTTGGCCAAGCATGACTTGGGCCTGACCCCCTCCAACTTTGGGAGGTGCCAAGCAAGGGTTGGGTTTAGAGGGGCACACGGGGTTTGGGATTGGCCAATCCCGCTTGGCCTCTTTTTTGCCCAACTTGGGCCTGTGCCCAGACTGGCTTGCAAGACCATAGTACTGATCAGATAGCTAAATAGCTGGTTTTTTGTTGATTGGTCAGAGGGTTGGGATCCTCCTGATGTGCAAAGCCCTTAAATGACATGATCTGTGTTGGCCAAAAATTCAAAAAAAAAGTCAGTAAAAAGTCAAAAAAAAACACCCAACAAGTCCAAAAAAATTGGCAAGAAGTCCAAAAAACCAGTCCAAAAAGTTGAAAAAAAGTCCAAAAAGTAAAAAAAAAGTCAAAAAAAAGTCAAAAAAAAGTCAAAAAAAGTCAAAAAAAGTCAAAAAAAGTCAAAAAAAAATAAAAAAAAAAAAGTCAAAAACTTGGTCAGAAACCCAAAAAAACCCAAAAAAAAGTCAAAAAAAAGTCAGTAAAAAGTCAAAAAAATTGGTCAAAAAGTCAAAACAAATCACCCAAAAAGTCCAAAAAAATTGGCCAAAAAGTCCAAAAAAACAGTCCAAAAAGTTGAAAAAAAAAGTCAAAAAAGTTGAAAAAAAAGTCAAAAAAAAAATCAAAAAAAAGTCAAAAACTTGGTCAGAAACCCAAAAAAAAATCGAAAATCTTACAGTTTTTTTTGGTGGGGATGGGGTCAAAAATTTGGCCTGGGGGGTCTTGGATTACCAAAGTCTGTTGCTTGGTTTTGAAGTGATGTGGTGGTTTTTCAAAAGTTTGGAGTGATGAGGTGGGTAGTTGTGTCTATTTTTGCTTGGTGTGCAGTGGTAACATGATGGGTAAAGGGGGGGGGGGGGGTTAGCACAGGCTCTAAAGGGGCTGCTGCAGCACAGTCTCATGTCGGATTACGCGCAGCCCCTTCATAGCCTCTGCTAAACCCCCCTTGCAATAATTTATGCTCGGCGTGCAGGGTGTAA